TATGAAAAAAAGAGTCAATAGCTTGGTAAGGGAGGCAAAACAAAAATGCTGAAGAAAATAACACCTTAAAAAGCAAAATAGGTCAAATGGTAAAAGAGGCACAAAAATCCACTGAGGAGAAGAACTTAAAAAGCAGAATTGAAGGGCAGCTAGGTGGCTCAGTGGATAGAGCTTTGGAGTCAGGAGGACCTGAGTTCAAATCTACCTTCAGACACTTACTAACTGTGTGACCCTGGGCAAGTCACTTAACCCCAATTGCCTCACCAAAAAGCAAAGACAAACAAACAAACAAAAAACAAAAACAGCAAAAACAAAAAAGCAGAATTGGCCATGTGGTAAAAAGAGATACAAAAATCCACTGAAGAAAAAACTCCTTAAAAAGTAGAATTGATCAAGTAGAACAGGAGGTACAAAAGCTTACTGAAGAAAATAATTCCTTAAAAATTAGAATTGGGCAAGTGGAAGTTAATGACTCCATGAGACCTGAAAAACAATAAAATAAAATAAAAATGAATGAAAAATAGAATAAAATTGGAAATATCTCATTGGAAAAACAATTGGCCTGGAAAATAGATCAAGGAGAGATAATTTAAGAATGATTGGACTACCTGAAAGCCTTAAACAAAAACAAAAAAGCATTATCAAGGAAAACTGCCCTGATATCCTAGAATCAGAAGGTAAAATAGAAATGGAAAGTATCTACTGATCATCTCCTGAAAAAGATTCCAAAATGAAAACTCCTGGGAATATTACAGTCAAATTCCAGAGCTCCCAGGTCAAGGAGAAAATATTGCAAGCAGCCAGAAAGAAATGATTCAAATATTGTGGAGCTACAGTCAGGATAACACAAGATTTAGCAGCTTCTGCATTAAAGGATCAGAAGGCTTGGAACGTGATATTTCAGAGGGCAAAGCAGCTAGGATCACAACCAAGAATCACCTACCCAGCAAAACTGAGTATAAATCCTTTAGGGGAAAAAATGGACATTCAATGAAACTTTCAAGCATTTCTGATGAAAAGATCAGAGCTAAATAGAAAATTTGATTTTCAAATACAAGATTCAAGAGAAGCATAAAAAGGTAAACAAGAAAGAGAAATCGTAAGGGAATCAATAAGGTTAAATAGTTTACATTTCTACATGGGAATATGATACTTGTAACTTTTAAGAATGTTAACATTATTAGGACAGTTAGAAGGAATATACATAGACAGAGGGCATAGCTATGAGTTGAATATGATGGGATGGTATCTAAAAAAATAAAATTAAGGAGTGAGAAAGAGGAATGCATTAGGAGAAGGAAGAGGTAGAATAGAGTAAATTATCTTACATAAAAGAAGCAAGTAAGAGCTTTTACAGTGGAGGGGAATATAGGGAATTTGGGAGGGAGGAACTTGAACCTTACTCTTATCAGAATTGACTCATAGAAGGAATAACATACACACTCAGTTAGGTATAGAAATCTACCTTACCTTATAACAAAGTAGGAGGGCAAAGGGATAAGGGGTGGCAACTGATCGAAGGAGGGAAGATTGGGGGAAGCAGTAGTCAGAAGCAAAACACTTTTGAAGAGGGACAGGATGAAAGCAGAGAGAGAATAGAATAAAAAGGGAGGAAAGGATGGAAGGAATATACTGTAATCATAACTGTGGAAAAATTATAGCAAGTTTCCTGATAACGACCTCATTTCTCAAATATATAGAAAACGGAGTCAAATTTATAAGAATACAAATAATTTGCCAGTTGAGAAATGGTCAAAGGATATAAACAGGCAGTTTTCAGATGAAGAAATCAAAGCTATCTATAGTTATATGAAAAAAAAATTCTATATTACTATTGTTTAGAGAAATGCAAGTTAAAACAACTCAAGTCAAAATGACCCCACACCTATCAGATTGACTAATATGATAGAAAAAAGAAATGATCAATGTTAGAGGGGATGTGGGGAAATTTAGACACTAATGCACTGTTGGTGAAATTGTGAACTGATCCAACCATTCTAGAGAGCAATTTGGAACTATGCCCAAAGGGCTGTAAAACTGTATATACCCTTTGACCCTGCAGTAAGACCATTCTAGGTCTGTATCCCAGAGATAAAAACAAAAGGGAAAAGGACCTATATGTAAAATATATTTATAGCAGCGTTTTTATGGTGGCAAAGAATTGGACATTGAGAGGATGCCCATGAAATAGGGAATGACTTGTTAGTTGTGGTATATGATTGTGATGGAATACAATTATGTTATAAGAAATGACAAGCAGGAGGCTTTCAGAAAAACCTGGAAAGACTTACTGATGCAAAGTAAGATAAGCAGAACTGGGAGAACATTGTACGTAGTAACAGCCATACTGTACTATGATCAACTGTAAATGACTTGGCTATTCTCAGCAATACAACGATCTAAGACAATTCCAAAGCCTTGTGATGAAAAAGGCTATCTACCTCCAGAGAAAGAACTGATGGAGTCTGAATGTAGATTGAAGCACACTTCTAAAAACTTCATTTTTCTTGTTTTTTTTTATGTGTTTTCTTTTACAGCATGATTAATATGAAAATATATTTTGTATGACTATACGTGTATAACCTAAACCAAATTGTTTGCCTCCTCAATGAGGGGAGAGGGGAGGGAGGTTGAGAATTTGGAACTCAAAATTTGAAAAAAAAAAGTCAAAATCGTTTTTATATGTAATTGGGAAAAAAATTAAAAAATAGAAAAAAGGAAAGAAAGAAAAGAAAGAGAGGAAGAAGGGGAAAAAAAAAACAGTGAGCAAAACCAATCAGTATCTGAAAAACAATGTTCCACATCCATGTACCATTCACCTTTGCAAAAGTGTTGGGGGAAGTACCTTCTCAGTTCCCTTCTTCAGGACATTTGTGCTTTTTGTAATTTTGTGACATTTGCTTCAGGTTTTTTTTTTGGTGGTTATTTTTATTTATATGATTATAGTCATTGTGTATGTTGTTTTCTTCCTTCCTTCCTTCCTTCCTTCCTTCCTTCCTTCCTTCCTTCCTTCCTTTCTTTCTTTCTTAAAAGAAAGTACTTAAAGCTTTCTTTCTTTCCTTCCTTCCTTCCTTCCTTCCTTCCTTCCTTCCTTTCTCTCTCTCTCTCTCTCTCTCTGTCTCTCTCTCTCTCTCTCTCTCTCCAATAGTTTTCTAATTAGTCTACTTTCCTTAACTCTCTCCTCAGCGCAAACTCTTCACACCTGCTAAAGTGATTTTCCTAAAACATAGATCTGACCACACCACCCTCTAATCATTAAACTCCAGTAGCTCACTGTTACCCCCAAGGATTAAATGTGAAGTACTTTGTTTGACATTTAAAGCTCTTTACAACCTGGCACCTTCCCACTTTTCTAATCTTAAACACTCTGTAATTCAGATGGACTGGCATACACGCTGTTCCTAAAACACGGGTCATTCTATCCTCAGTCTCCCTACTTTGCCCTTGCTGCTCCCCATGCCTCTGGCATGCCCTCCCTCCCAACCTCTTAGAATCGCTGGCTGCAATTAAGACTCAGATCAAATGCCACTTCTTTAGGAGGCCTTTGCTGGCAGCCCCAGTTTCTAGTGCCGCCATCACCTTTAAGGTTACCTTTTACCTATTCTCTGTGTGTCTTATATGTAGGTAGTCATTTATAAAGTGTCTCCCCCATTTAAATATAAGTTTCTTGAGAGCAGAACTGTTTTTGCTTTTTCTTTGTGTCTTTTTAGCACTTAGCACAGTGCCTGGCATAGGGTAAGTATTCAATAAATGTTTGTTGATTGGAGTGTTAGGGGAGACTTTCTGGGCAAAGATAAAGTGAGGCAGGAGCAGAAGTGATTCTATCATAGGAATATACTACAGACCATCTGAAGAGAATGAGGGAAAAGATGAGGTCTTTAGGAAGCATTAGATGACTGACATGGAGGTATGACGTGGTAGTGTTAGAAGACTTCAGTTACCTAGACATCTACTGGAACTCTGCCCAGAGTGGAACATCTAAGCATTTTCTACCTTACCTTTTCATTACAATATGGCAGAATTTCAACCCAGGTCTTCAGACTCCAAATCTAGTTCCTTTCTCATGGGCAGGGGGCTTGTTCTTTTGGCTCTGGAATTCCTAATGCAAAGGAAACGTATACTAGCTTTATAAAAATGTTGATGCAAATTTATCATCCTGTCCTGTGATTTCTCCCCTCTCATACCTGGAAATGTGAAAAACTAACCTTCACCAATAAGGAGAACCGATTGTTGGAGTGATGGGGACGGGAACGCCTTTGAATTTGAAATAGAACTGAAGAAGAGATCTGGGTAGATAGTCTAACATGCACCTTAGATTCTGGGAAAGCAGATTTTAGTCCAGGAGAGATGGGAAGCTGTCACAAACGAAGTTCTTGAAATACAAACAATTCCAATTGAGAGAAAGAAAGAGTGTTGCTTAAAAAGCTATGCTTCTAAGTGACACCTTTACTCTCTCACCAATCGAATCAAAACACTTATTCTGTAACAGACAGTGAATAGTAGTGGATAAAAGTGCTACCTTCAGCGTCAGAAAGACCTGGTTTTAAATCTAATCCTAGACACTAGCCGTATGATCCTGGTTGCAAGTCACTTAACCACTCTGTGCCTCAGTTTCCTCATCTGTAAAACAAGGGGGTTGGGCTTCACTGCCCATAAATGTCCTTTTCAGTTCTAAACCTTTGATTCTGTGAACTTTCCAATAGCCCCATATGTTAGATAAGTCACAAGAAGTCAGCACCTTTCCAAGCGCTGGCCCCTTCAGAGGAGAGAAACAGCAGCTCAGAGACATACTGTCTCTGGCAGCCGGCGGGGAGCAGGTAGGCTGCTCCTGCAACGGAACAGTCCCAAAAGGCCCAGAGCAAGAGGAGAAAGCAGAACTGGCTCGAGGGGGCGGGACTCACCAAGCCACGCCCCCGTTCCCTAGGTAACCAGTTGAAACAGTGACCCTAGCCCTTATTCCCTGAGTCATTCCGTGCGCCCCAGGATGGGAGCGGAGTGAGTCCATATCCCTAGACCCGAGGCTGCGGGCATGGAACCCCAATCAGACTCGGGAAGCCCCAGGGCGACGGAGGTCTCAGAGGTCTTGAATGACCCCCCGGGAATAAGGACAGCTCTTAGCCCACAGAAAGGCTTGACGGTGGGGTCGGTCAATTCCCCGTGGAAGACAGCAGCGCAGATCTCGCTTCCCCCTTGCCCCGAGGCCCAGTTTGTGCCATCTTCGAAATGCTGCATGGCGGGGGATAACTTGCCGTACGTGGAGAAAGGCGGGGGGCCGTGCCGGGAGCTGCGCTCCGTGGGGCTTCGCTGCCCCAATGGCACAAGCCTCTTGAGGGACATGCAGCCCCCGGTGGAGACAGATGCTGCCCTGGGCATGAAGAGTGGTTTGGGATTATCAACCCGGCCCCCCACGGCCAGGGACGTCGAGCGGGACCCGGAGGATCTGGAGAAAGTGCAGGAGAAGCTGGCCAGGCAACCCCCCTATTGTCGACAGCCCGACATGGGGTTAGTGAGTGAGCTCTCGGCGAAGATCTCTTGCCCGGAGAACTCGGGAGCCTCCGAGGAGGAGGAGCCCCCCGTGGGCTCGGAGATTGGGCTGCCCAGTAGGGTGATGGGTAACTTGGAACCCGAAAGTGAGGGCCCAGTAGGGCTGGCGATAGAACCATCAGCTTACGTCTTCAAGACGAAGCCCGAAGAGCCTCCCAAGCTTCCAAAGGATTTGGAACCGGGAGTCGAGCCTCCAGATAATATCAGACCCATTTATCTTGGGAAATTTTTTGACCGTAATCCTGGCTGGCCGTGTGTGAGTTCTGAGTTCTCTTTCACACGTACTTCCTTCTTTTCTTCCTCCCTCCTTCCCCTCACCTTTCTCTGGGACCACTAGCGTACTTAGTATTGCTATTAGATTAGAACATTGGTTTCCGACTGTGGTTTATGGACACCAGTTATGATTTTGTAGAAATTTTATGTTTTTCCTTTGCCTCCCAACATCCTGACTCACATTGGACCTCTGTTCCTTGGTTACTGACATGATCCATGATTTCCCTGGTGGGGTAGTTGCTTCACTTTGCAGATCTCAACCTCTGTATTTGATTCTTGCCCATGTCCTCTTGTATCCCTTCCATGGAGGAATTCCTGGGTATGTTAGAGTGCTTTATGTCTTTTAACCTTTTGAATTCACCAGTTCAGCACTTATGTTCCTTCTGCTATCCCTTCCTCTGACCACATGAAGGATCTGCCTCTTCCAATCACATATTTCTTTTGATGATATGTTTTATGCCCCTTAATGCACCTTTTATGTATTGCCCTATGTACTTTCTTCTGATCACCCATCTTTGAACTTCTGCCTTGTTCTCCTTTAAATACCTACCAAAGGCTTTTCTCTCTCCAGTTCCCCCATATTGGATATTTACTTTCCCACGCTTCATTTTCCCAGCATTTTTCCATATTTCCCAGTTGTCCTTTTCTTGCGAATGTTCTCCCTTTCTTTCAGCCGCACTGGTGTATAACAGGACACATTTGAGTCTAACCAGAGGAAAAAAAAAACCAGGGGAACATTGTTAGAGCTCTGGCTCTAGAATCCTACAGGAGCCTTGGGTTCAAATGCCATCTCTAATGCCCATCTCCTGTGTGACCTTGGTCAAGTTCATAAACCTCCCTGGGCTTTCCTTTTCTCATCTCTAAGGTGAGGAAGTTGGACTCCCATGGCCTCCAATGTCTCTTCCATCTCTATGGTCCTTGAGTGAAAATCCATTCTGGACCCCAGAAAGTAATTGAAAAAACTACTTTTCCATTTATTGTTTATTTGAAGATTATTATAGGTGACATTATATTCTTGTTAAGGAGGGTATGCTATAATTTGAGGTTCTGTGAAGATATACTAGTATATATGTGTATCTAGACATCCATAATTGTTTGTTTTGTTTTTTTTTTTTAAATTTCACTTGGGATCATAACTCCCTTAAAAACACAGGCCCAGGCCAAGTTTCAAAACCACTTTCATTCCTGACAGTGCTGATCATTCTAGTTTTCATCTCTTACTTTTTTTTTTCTTCTTTAGGCAGGGAAGCTTATTCCAGTTGGATACAGAGCTGAAACCTGTTTGACTGAAAAATGGCCTCCAGTGAGTATTGTCAATAGATACATGTTTATTTCTTTGCCTTAGATATGACCATCAAGAAAATTTAGTTAACTCTCAGTATTCTCCCTTAAGCTTATATAAAGTGAATGTTGGGAATATTTAGAGGCTTTGGTCTTCTAGCAGTTTGGCGAGAGGTGAAGGTGATGCGAGGCTTCCAAACATACTGGCTTGAGGCCTACCATTCTAGTTCTGGCTCAAGTGCTTAACCTCTTAGGACCTATGTTTATTTATCTGCAAAATAAAGGGGTGGGATTGTGCAGGGATGTGGAACCTGCAGCCTCGATGCCACTCTAGGTCCTCAAGTGGGGTCCTTTGACAGAATCCAGACTTGACAGAACAAATCCCCTTCGTAAAAGATTTGTTCTGTAAAACTTGGACTCAGTCAAAAGGCTGCACCCAAGGACCTAGAAGGCTATCTGTGGCCTTGAGGCCAAAGGTTCCCTACTCCTGGACTAGAAAAATCACTACTCCCTGGGCCTCAGTTTAGTCCTCTGAAAAATGAGAGGATTGAACTGGCTGTGCTCTGAGGTTCCTTCCTCAGGAGAATCTGTGATCCCATGATCCCAAGATTTCAGTTTTATTTAAATTTTTTTTTTTTTTTTGGTAATCTGACAGTGGATAGAGAGCTGGCCTTGGCTTCAGGATATTGGAATATTGAATCTGGGTTTAAGTCTTGCCTCTGACACATACTGATGGTAGTCTCTACTTCCTGAAACCTTGCCTTGCATATCTGTATGTCCTTGTACTTTCACTCTCTTGACCTTAAGCCCCTCATTGCAAAATGAGGGCTTGTATTAGATGGCCTCTAAGCTCTTATGGTTGATACATAACAGAAAATGGTAACACTAAAAATAATTAATTCTGTAACTTTTTCTTATAAACATAGATATATACACATGCTATATATATATATACACACATATGTACACCATATATATATATATAATATATAATGTTTTAGGCTTGCATTGTGTTTAAGTAGACTCAAAGGGGGTGCAATGGTATATTAATGTTATTGTAAAAAAGCTTTGTTGATTCCTTTAGTTTTCAAACCATTTTCCTCTATTGTCCTGGTCCCCCTTGTCACAAATTAAAACACTAACCAAAACCAGCTGACAGCAGGGAAACTTATTTGGGGAAAGATGATAAGTGATTCTATTTCTACTGAGTTTGCAGTACAGCTGGCAACTCCAATAGAGACATAGACCAGAGCAGTCAGAGATATGTGACTGTGACTTGGGAAAGGCTCACCTTCAGAAGGTAACAGAGAGAGAAGGGCCAACGAGGGAGGAGTTAGAGAGCAGGTATGGTCAGAGTTAGGGGAAGAACCTGACTAAAGTAGTTTCAGGCAGCCAAGGGAAGAGACAGTTTTCTATTTAGGTCAGACAAGCCACTATGTTGAGGACATTGAACAAGATTAAGAATGAGGAAATGGGAAATAACAGGGGAAGAAATGCCTGACCGGAGTCAGATGGCATCAGTTTCATGCCTTGGCTCTGTATTTTACTGCTTTTGTGAGGTTGGGTACTGAACCTTGCCAAGCCTCAATTTCATCACCTGTAATATGGAACTAACTATGTTTGTATTAGAATATCAGTTGTGGAACAGTTCTGAGTAGCAATCCGTTAAGGGGATTTCCTCACCAGGGAATTCCCTAAATCAATAAATCATTGGGACAGTTAAAAAAAAATGCACTCTCTACCTCACAAAGTCACTGCAAGAAAAATATTTTGTAAATCTTTAAAGTGATCAATAGGAATGATTTTCAAAGCCAAGGTTCTTGCCTTCATAGGGCTTACTGTTTTAAGGAGAAGGGTGGTTTCACACTTCAGGTCAGGGGAGATGAAGAGGGGAAAGCAGTTGGTTTTTGCTAATAGGACACCCCTTATAGACTTGAGAGAGTTTTAATACAATGGCGGTGTTGAAGACTAGATTCTAAGGGGCTGAGAAGTGAGTTGATTGATGAAAAGGTAGACAGCTCACATATTCTACAATTCATTCAAGGGATTTTGTGGCAAAACAATAATGGGAGAAGGTCAAAGGGTATAGGATGAAGTTAGGTTTCTTTTTAGGCTAGGGGAGACCTGGGCATATTTGTAAGTGAAGAGAGAGGATCCACTGAAGGAAAAGATGGAAGATGAAACCAAGACTTTCATTTATGCTTTATACACAGACACTACAGTCATAGAATTCTATTACTATAAATTGTGGGTTTTTTCTTTCTCTTTCCCTTTTTTTTTTTAAGGCAATTGGGGTTGACTCCCCCAGGGCCACACAGCTAGTAAGTGTCTGAGGCCAGATTTGAACTCAGGTCTTCCTAACTCTAGGGCTGGTGCTCTATCTACTGTACCATCTAGCTGCCCCTGGTTTTTTAAAATTTTAAACAGTTTTTTAATTATAATAATTATCTCTTTCCCTCCCCCACTTCTCTCTCTGTCAGCCTTTGACTCCACCCACTGAGAGAAAGTTTTATAAAGCCAGATATCCAGATCCTGGTACTGAACGGATATTTTATGGCAGAGCAAATGATCCAGATGTTTCTCATTTGACACATGGTAAAAAAAGTGATAAGTCACTCAAGGTAATTTTCTTTCCTGTTAATTCTCAACTTTTGAAGTAGAAAATATAGAAATCATGGATCAATGAAATTCAGGTACTGGTTTTCAATCTTTTCCCTGGTCCTACTTGTATAATGGTATTTTCCATTCATCCTCTGAAAAGGATGTCAATCTTAAGTAGCAAAAAAATCTCAAAGTAAACAGACAAGGAATTATAGAGAAATGTGTTAGAATTCATCCATAGACTGGATACCTAGGTAGGGTGCATTTAGTTTCCTCCCAGGAAATACAAGAGATTCCCTCAGACTTTGCTAAAGCAGAAAGAGGAGACACAACTTTGGAAACATCTATTTTCCCTAGGATATAACTATGTGGGTGAGACAGGGTAAAAGTAGGCTTGCTATTTGTTATATAATTACTAGGCAAATTGGAATTAGAGGTCATGGCAGAGTATCTGGAAAGAGTTTGTAAAGTTCTGGGAATGTGGGGGCTGTTTTTGCTTCCACTACCATAGTCCCTGTATCCCTGAATGTCTGAGTTGATTGAGATGGTGATTTGGAGAGTTGTCCTATAGAACCTACCATGGAGCTCCTGGGCTCACTGACAGCCACAAGTTCAGGCAGATAGTTACGCTCCCTCTCATGTCTCAACTCTGGTATATCTCACTAACAAGGAGAGAAGAGCAGACTTAGAATAGCAGACTATTCCTCTTGCTTTTTAATAACCTCTACTACCAAATGTTTTCCCTGATAGACTGAGATTTTAAAATAATACTATATTTTAGACCCGTATCTTTACTTTTGTGTTTTAAAATCGTGTTATGTATGGTTCCTTTAAGGTAGGTCCATTGGTCAATCCACCTCCTATTTCTACATTTCAACAAAGATTTAAGGAAAGGAAAGAATCCTTCTATTTCAGTAATCGGAGAGCGCCATTAGGGAGGTCCCACGATCAAACGCAAAATTTACCTGAATGTATTGATACAGTTAATACAACATTTGGAGTACCAATCTTCAGAGGTAACAAAAACAATAGCAATAGCATAAATCCTCTTCAGAAGTGGGATGAAATGTCAAGTATTTGTGGTGTGTGTGGAGTATAGAAACAATGTATGCAATCATTAAGAATGAAAAGATTGGTATGATGGGATAGATTACAGGAGGTCAGGTATCTATGTCAAGCCCCACAGCCTGTGGGCATGGTTGTGGCCGGCACCTACCTGTCCCTGGATCCTGCTTCCAAGAAGGAAGGATCATCCTTTTGGGATGAAGAGGAAGACCTGAAGATCATAAATCTGGAACTGGAAGGGATTTCAGAGTCTATTTAGTACAACACTTTCAGATTATAGACAAAGAAACTGAGGCCCAGGGAGGGTAAATGACCATGTTCTCTGACTCCAAATCTAGCACTCTTTTTTTTTTCTTTCTTTCTTTTTTTTCCTAGCACTCTTTTTACTGTGCCATACTGATGTTTATGTTTTCATCATTTCCCTTTCCCTGAATTAAGTCGTCTTTGGCTGTGAAATTGAAGAGATATAGTATGATTTCCTGGGCCAAGATGATTATATTACCTGCAGAAAGTACTATAGGAACACCCTGCTCCCTCACTTAAATATATAGAAATTAAAGTTTATAAAACTGATTTATTGACAGGGCAATCATTTAACCTGATGCATTTAAGTGTTTGCTTAAAGGTCAAACACTATGTAACAAGATAAAAAAATAGAAAACCTAAATTATTAGGAGCTCCTGAAAATTGGAGAGTGATTGGAAATGAAAATGTAATTTCAAATCCTTGAAAACATGACATTTGATTAAGAAAAACTCTTCTAGCATGTACATGTTATTCACACCGATAGGTATTGGCCTTCCCCAGAGGATTGTAGACAATGGGGAAATACGGAGTTTATTGACCATCTGGGGACAGCAGCTGGTGGGCCAGAGTGCCCCACTGGACCAGGAAGGCCCCTCAACTCAAACCAAACCTTTTTGATCTTGGTGAGTTTCTTGGGTTCCTAGGTCATTTTAGCAATGAAGGGTGACACACACAGAGTTCACAGTCAGTCCAGACCTACAATCTTGTAGACCCAAAGTATCTCTGAACCTCACTTGAGGTTCCAAAGTTAACAGGGAGGCCTTGGGAATCTTGGACTATATTCTTTGACTCAGTGTGCTCTGAATAATTTATTAAGCACTTGCTCTGTATATTGTACCGTGCTGTATATACAAATAGAAGAGTATGACAGTCTTTTGCCTTCAAGAAGCTCACGGTCTAACGAGGGAGAAAACACAGAGAGGAGGTTTTATTTATAAATCAGAGGGAAAGTTCTCATGGTTTTTGCGTGTAGTGGCAAAACAGATAGCAATACATCTTAAATGTTATTTCCACCAATAAAATCCTATCAGTTTTTGGTGCTGAACCATTTAGCCATGCCAAGCACTTTGGCCAAATCTCCCACAGAAGCAGGTGCCAGGACACCTCTGCACAAGGAGTTGCTTCCCTAGGTGATTGCTGTAGGGGCTGAGCTGGAAACAGGACCTGTGGTTTGAAGGGTGCTGCCACTCTTAGGGGCTATTTATTTCCACTGGGGTCTGAAGTAGAGGGGGGGAAGTGGAAGGTGGAGGGGAGCTTGGCCTGCCTGGTACATGCCCCCTCCTCTCCCTTAGACAGTCTTTCTGCTTCAGCTAGGCTGGCTATAGCCTGCCAGCCTTGTATATACCAGCCTTGTAGATAGCAGTCTTCCTGGATATATAGTCTTTCAGGGTGTGGGCGAGGTTGTGGCGCAGTTTGTAACTTAAAGATATTAATTGATATTCACCCTGGGCTTCATGGGCAGTCAGTGGTTATGCTATTCGTTCTTTTGGTGTCTTCTCCTTTCTCTTGTCTTCTGTCTCCATGTCCCTTGTCCCCCCTCTCCTTTTTCCCCTCCCCTCTCCCTACTCTCCTCTCTTGGTCTCTCTCTGTCTCTCTGTCTCTGTCTCTCTCTGTCTCTATCCCTGTCTGTCCCTTTCCCCTCTCTCCTGCCTCCCTCCTTCCCCCATTCTCTATCTCTTCTCTCTCTCTGCCCTTCTCCTCTTCTTTCCTCCCCTTCTTCTCTTCTCTCTCATGCATTTAATAATATCTTTAAATGGATTGATTTTACTTCTTTACATTGATTTGTTCTTCTTTCAGAGATAACTGCTAGAGACTTAGTGAATCCACCAAAATCCTTTGAACAAGTATTTGAAGAAGCATATCAAGGACATGACCTGTACATTGTCTCCCACAATGATTATTATGTAGGTAAGAGCATAGTAATTGGGAACATATACATGTAAATATAAACTATTTATAAAACACATTCATTGATTCATTTGTTAACCATTTATTGAACACCCATTATGTGTAGTGCATCAGAAGAGATGCGTAGATTCCTAAGTCCTATTCTTACAGAAAAGCTTGTAAAATTGTAAGTAAAGCTTACAATTTAGCATAGGGACAATATATATGGAGAACCTGTGATCTATCAGTGTGGGAAAGTCTTCATGGGGTTTGATCCCTCTTCCATCAGGGATTTGAGAGGATTTCAAGCTCAATCAGACAGTAGTGTAAGAACAGCCTCAAAGAGGCAAATAAGAACTTGGGCTATATTTTACAAGAGGAATAGCTTATAAGAATAAAGAGGTAGTAGGTCTGTCTTCTGCTTTGCTCAGATGACATCTGAAGTTTTGTTTTCAGTTCTGAGGCCCACAATTTAGGAAGGCCATTGAAAAACTCATGGAGGGATTTCCAGAGGTTGGCAACCCGGATGGTGAAGAGACTTGAGACCATGCTGTGTGAGGGTCAGACTCCGAAAACAGGCACTGCTTACACCCCAATTCATCCCTTTTCTGAAGGAGAAGAACTCAGAAGAATCCACATATATGAACATGCACACATACACAAACTTACAGACATAGATCAGAGCTCATGTGTGTGTAAGAATGTAACATACATACATACACACAAACATGTATATCTCACAAAAATACAAAAACATCAAAGGGATTTTTCAAACAACTTCACTTTCATTTGATTTAAGCTCGATCTAAGGATCATGGATTTAGAGATGGACAGGACCTTAGAGATCATCTCCAAGTCCCTCATTTTACAGTTGGGGAAACTGAGGCCCAGAGAACTTGGAGTGACTTTCTCTGGGTCATAGAGGTACTAAGTTGCAAATCTGTATTTGAATCTAGTTCCTCTGGCTCCCAAACCAAGGCCCCTGCCGCTATATTAGGAAGTCCTTTATTCTTTTTCAAATGCTCTTATTTAATAATTAGTTATTACTAGATGCATTCTGTGGCCAATCTAAGAAACATGAGATATGAATAGAGCTTTATGATAGAATTTTCCTTGCTGATTTGTTGTTAAGTGTATTCTGGAAATAATAGAAGACTGGGAGGCTCACTTCAGTGTTGTGTGTTTTTTTTTTTTTTTAAAAACCTGTTGCCAAGCTGCCATATGACCTTGAAAAATTAATGGTTATATACCATGTTCTTGAAAGCTTGTAAATTGATAGCTTGCCTGTGGGAGTGTAGTGAGGCTATTGAATGCATGTTAAGTCCTTTTTAGGTATTTGAGTTTTGGATAGTTTATGAGTGCAGTTTATTTTAATCAACTAGAGGCGTATAATATCTTACACCACTGGATTCAGTCAAAGGGCTGCGCTTGAGGACCTAGAGGGCCACATGTGGCGTTGAGGTCACAGGTCCCCCACCCTTGCCTTACACTGTGTAACCCTTGTAGGCTATTTCCCCACTCTCTCCCTTCTTCTCTTCTTTCCCTTTTCCCAGTTTACCCCTCATTAGCCTTGCCTCCTCCAGCACAGATTGCCTCACCACCTTGGATCTGCCACCAAGGCCTGTTCTCCCCTACCAGCCATGACCTCTCCTGCTTACCTCTGCTATGCACATGCTGTATGTCTCCTGGGCTTCCTTTTGTTGTTCAGTTGTTCCAGTTGTGTCCAGCTCTTGGCCATCCCATTTGGTTTTTGTTTTTGTTTTTGGGTTTGTTTTTTTTTGGCAAAGATACTGGCTTGGTTTGCCATTTCCTTCTCCAGCTCATTTTATAGGTGAGGAAACTGAGGCAAACAGGGCTAAGTGACTTACCTAGGGTCACACAGCTAGTAAGTGTCTGAGGTCAGATTTGAACTCAGAAAGTCTTTCTGACTCCAGGCCTAACACTCTATCCACTGCTCCACCTAGTCAATGTTCACATCATACGGAACTTATGCTTCCTTAGCTACTTCCTTTCTTTTTTTAATTAATTAATTTATTTTTAGTTTTCAATATTCACTTCCACAAGATTTTGAATTCCAAATTTTCTCCCCATTTCTCCCCTTCCCATACCCCAAGACAGCATGGATTCTGAATACCCCTTGCCCCAATTTGCCCTCCCTTCTATCACTCTGCCTTCTCTTATCCTCTTTACCTTCTATTTTACTGTAGGGCAGGATAGATTTCCATACTCCATTGCCTGTATATCTTATTATTATTATTATTATTTTTTGCATTCAAACTCTGTAGTTCTTTTCTTGGACGTGGATAGCATTTTCCATCATGAGACCTTTGGAGATGTCTTAGATGTTTGCATTGCTGTGAAAGGCTAAGTCTATCAACTTTAGTCATTGCACAATATGGCTGTCACTGTGTATAATGTTCTCCTGGTTCTGCTCACTTCACTCAGCATCAGTCCATACAGTCTTTCCAGGTTTTTCTGATGTCCACCTGCTCATCATTTCTTATAGCACAGTAATATTCCATTAAATTCATATACCACAACTTGTTCAGCCATTCCCTAATTGATGGTAATCCCCTCAATTTCCAATTCTTTGTCACCACAAAAAGAGCTGCTGTAAATATTTTTATACATGTGGATCCTTTTCCCTTTTGTATGATCTCTTTGGGATACAGCGCTAGAAGTGCTATTGCTGGGTCAAAGGGTATGAACATTTTATGCCTTTGGGCATAGTTCCAAATTGCTCTCCAAAATGGTTGGATCACTTCACAACTCCACCAACAATCCTTAGCTACTTCCTAAACTTCACCTTTACTCTCCAGCCATACCTTGAATATCACTTATAGGTTTGGACTTTTTTTTTTTGCTGTCATTACTTTTTGACTCTTTTTTCCCCCTGTTTTCTGACTTTATCCTCTTTATGGTAGAAACAATATCCTAACCAGAAAACTCCCAGGGGATTGACCTGAGTCAGGCCCAGCCCAGAACATATCTTGAGGAAGGAAATGCCACAACATGAGCTAAGGAATAATGAAAAAGAGGTGGTGGAGCATGGAATTTTTATTTTTATAAAGGTTTCCCTTTGGGGTTCCTGTAGTTAAAGTATTATTTGCCTGTTAGGGATTGAGGGCATATAATTAAGTTTAAGGACCAATACTATCCTAAGGATACAGGATTCTGATGATGCTGTTGCCTGGAGTTGGTTTTCAGTGACACTGACCAAACAAAGCTTTCACCATAGAAGCCGGCAAGCTGACCGTACTGCCCATTGGTATTGTTTAATCATTTCAGTGATGTCCAACTCCTCCTGACCCCACTGGGACTTTTCTTAGCAAAGATACTGGAGGGGTTTGCCATTTCCTTTTCCGGCTCATTTTACAGATGAGGAAACTGAGGCAAACAGTTAAGTGACTTGCCCAGGGTCACACAGCTAGTAAGTGTTTGAGGCCAGATTTGAATTCATGAAGATGAGCCTTCCTGATTCTAAGCCCAGTGTTCAATCCACTGCACCACCTAGTTGTCCATTACTATCCAGAAACCCAGGGATTTCTCTAATAATTATGGGTCTTTCCGTTTTGACATCTTCCCTGCTTGCCTTTTACCCAAGGGAGGGGAGGCAATAATCTTGCCTGCTTCTACCACTAAACATAAATATCTTTTCTGCGCAGAAAGGATTGGAGTTGGGTAGCACAATGGATTGGGCACTAGGCCCAGAGTCAAGAAGACCTGAGTTCGAAGCCTGACTTAGACATTTGCTAGCTGGGTGATCCTGGGCAAATCACTTTATCTCTGTCTCGGTTTCTTCATCTATAAATTTGGATAGCAACAGTATATCACAGGATTCCTGTGAGGATCAAATGGGTTAATACATATGAAACACTTAATGAATGGAAAGTACTACATGTAAATGCTAATCATTATTATTACTGATTTTCTTTTCTTTCTTTTCTTTTTTTGTGTGTGAGGCAATTAGGTTTAAGTGACTTGCCCAGAGTCATATATTACTGATTTTATTAAAGATCTGTTTGAGTGTTTTGGTTCCCCTCCTCTTTTGGGGCCCAGAAGCAATGTTTGTATCATATAGAAATTATGTAATTATCTCTCCTATTACAATCCCGTGGAATATTCTTTTCAAGTTATCATCTTAGATGGCAACAGAGATATCACGTTATAAAGTCATAACATTTTGGAGTTGCATAAGACCGTATAGGTCACCTAGTCTAACTTCCCCACTTTACAGATGAGGAAACTGAGGCTCAGAGAAGCTAATGATGATGATGATGGCAATAATAACAATGATGATAATGCTAGTTAGCATTTATGTAATTGCCACATTATTTTACTTATGTTAATTCATTTAATCCTCAAAGCAACTCTGTGAGCTAGGTACTTCACAACCTGTAACTAAGTAACATCCACCAACATCTAAGTACCTTCTCTCTTGGGCTCAGAAGCTTGCCCACGGTCACCAAAGCATTCTTGGTTGTCGTCAGTGTCCAGGGTCTTTTCTGAAGGCCTCTTAGAATCATAACCCTGACAAAATCATTCTCCTGGTCTAAATGAGAAGCCTCCTTTTTTTTTTTACAGGGGAAATGAAGAATAGGAAATATAACCCAGCAAGTTTTTACAGATTTCAAACTTTTGGAGAGAAAACGCCACATTTTAACGATGGCCGAACTATGGCAAAATCTTTTCATTGGCTCCATGAGCTACAAATGTAAGTTAAATTATGTTGTTTCTCGGAGTAATTGTTACACACGTGTCATTTGAACTTAGAAGAGTAAACATCTTGAATTGGTGATTTCTAAAGGATTCAAGTTTCTTTTTTTTGGCTAGGTAATGGGGTTAAGTGACTTGCCCAGGGTCACACAGCTAGAGAGTGTCAAGTGTCTGAACTCAGGACCTCCCAACTCCAGGGCCAGTGTTTGATCCACTGTGCCTAACTGCCCTAGGATTCTTAAAGTTTCTTAAAGGCAATATACTTTCCAATACTCTGCTAAGAAGGCCACAGAGAGTATATAACAGACAACTGATACCTTGGCATTTACCTTTTAGCCTTGTTTTATGCTTAATTGGACAACTGACTTGCTAAGTTTTGGTTAGTTTGACAATGTGGCAAGTTTTATGCAATGATTCCATATTTTGAAGCTTTCAGATATCTAATTCATTATGTGGGTATTCTCTCTCTTTTTAAAAATTATTATTTTAATTAACTTATTTTTAGTTTTCAACAATCACTTCCATAAGCTTTTGAGTTTTAAATTTTTCTTCCCTTCCCTCCTCACCTCCCTCCCCAAGATGGCGTGCAATCTGATATAGATTACACATATACATTCCTATTAAACATTTTCACATTAGTCATGTTGTAGGTATTCTCTTTACAAGTGCAGATTATAACAAGGATACTCTAGCACTTAGCTTGGATAGACTCAGCCCTCCTCTCTCTCCCTAAAAATTTCATGTGGATATTCTGGTCAACAAGGCAGGGTGAGGTAACTTGTGCGATCTTGAGACATTTACCAAGTCTGGAAGAGCCCTGACACCATATAGGTGGGCCTTTTCATGTCCTTAGGTGACCAGGAAACCATGTCAGTACAACCAGAGGCTACCAAAGCTTCATCCAAGGAGGATGACATCCGTGAACTGAGGCAAAGTGAAGTGAGAAGAACAGGGAGATCATTGTGCACAGTAACAGCTTTCAACCTCCAGGCCAATTAAATCCTGGAGACAGCTTTGAGGGAAAAGCTAGCTTAACTTGCATAGAGGATGAGGTGAGGATATTGTTCCCACCACAACAGGGGTGACTTCCGTGGTGAAAAATTTACTGTGTATGGCAGAACTTCTGTCAATGAGCTTTTCTGAAATGATCTAGGTTGGTCCTTGGCTGGCAGACATGTGGTCTGTTCATTGGTTCATTCTTGGAACCCAGAGGTCTTTAAGCTACATAGGTAGCTGTAGGTAGTACTGAGGGGAGTACTTAGCGTAGAGATAGGTTAGGTGGTAAGGCCAGGAGGGCTTTAGGGTCCAATGGCAATGCAGATGGTAGGGCCTGGTAGTCCTGCATCTTATTGGAATGAATGGAGTTGTTGACTCTTATCTTACCCAAGATCTGTGAGTCATCAGGTAACCTAGGAGGAAGGGGAAAGGAAAAGGGGATGGCTTCCTCATTATTGGTGAGTCTTTTTGCCTCCTAGCCAGATGATTTCTGGGACTAAGGAGGTGGGGTGGCTCTGGATGGTTTCTGGGAGGGCCCAGGGCTGGGTGATTTGGGAAAGAAAGCAGAGGAGGAAAGTACTTCCACACCACTCTGAGGCATTGCATGGGACTTTATTGGAGGAATAATATCATATATGCCAGGAGACTTTACTGGAAAATTGAGGTATGAGTTTATGAAGATTTTTTTTGGGTGGAGTCTGGATCTGTGATTTTATGTGGGAAACTCCTGGGATAGAAATCTCTATTTAATAATGAAAAAAAAAATAAAGTCTCTATGATTGTTAGGGCAAGGAAGCTCTGGGTTTCGGGAAAATTGTGGGCAGTTTTATTCTTCAGCTGACTTTTTATCCTGCTAGGAGGCCAGGCTAGAGATTTTGACCATCATTATTGAAAACTGGCTGTATCAGGGAGAACCACAGAATTCTTCATCTTTGTGGATCTACCTCCCAGATCAGCAAGGGAGGTCTGTAACTTAGAGTTCTTGAGACTTTTATGGAACGAGGAGAAGTTAAGTCTTGACCAGGGTTAACCAGTGGGGTTATCAGAACTAGAATTTGAATACAGATCTTCCTGATTTTAAAACTGGTCTTCTATCTACTATGACCCACTGCATCTCAGTTGGTAAAATATGACATATCTATTTGTCTTATTGACTCCCTTCCTCATACCAGGGGCCAGCTACAGACATACCTTTGGCCACAGTGGGGATGACATGAGAACATGCATCTAAGTCATCGGCATTACTGCCAAAGGGAAAAAAAGAAAAGCTAAAACCTTATCAACATTGAATCAGTAGCATCATTTTTGAATGTACTTAAAAAAAACATTTTAGAATGGTAAGCCATTAATATGAGTTAATGATTTTTGAGATTTTTAAAAGAAGTTAGTTGGTTGCTCCAAAAGCATCTACAAATAATAGAGGTCACTTTAAAAAATATTTAAACATTCTTTTCTTTTTAAATTCTGAGTTCCAAATTCTGTGTCTTTGTTTTACCTCCCCCCAGCCATTGAGAAGGCAAGCAAAATTATGTAAATTATATGTAGGAAATCATGTAAAACATATTTTCATATTAGCCATATCACAAAAAAGCAATAAAAATCAAGAAAGTGAGAACGTTATACTTCAGTTTGCATTCAGAGTTCATCATTTCTCTCTTTGAAGGTGGATAGCATTTTTTTTTATCATATATCTTTGGAATCATCTTGGATCACTGTGTTGATTAGAGTGCCGTGTCTTTCACCATTGATCATCGTTCTAACATTGCTATTAGTGCGCACCATGATGCTTCAGTTCACAGACATCTCCCCATGTTTCTTTCCCCTTCCTGAAAGCATCCCTCTCATAATTTCTGATAGTGCAACAGTACTCCATCATAATCATATGCCACACCTGTTTAGCCATTCCCCAATCGATGAGCATCCCCACAATTTCCCATTCTTGGCCACCACAAAAAGAGCTGCTGTAAACATCTTTGTACGTATAGGTCCTTTTCCTTTCCCCTTCATCTCTTTGGGGTTTAGACTTAGAAGGGTTATTGCTGGGTCAAAGAGTATGTACAGTTTTATAGCCCTTTGGGCCTAGTTTCAAATTCTCCAGAATGGTTGGACCAGTTCATTACTCTATCAGCAGTTCACTAATGTACCTATTTCCCCCTCATCCTCTTCAGCTTTTGTCTTTTTTGACAGGTGTGAGGTAGTATCCCCAAGTTGTTTTAATTTTCATTTCTCTAATAAATGGAGAAGGAAATGGCAAAGCACTCCAGATTTTTGCCAAGAAAACCCCATGATTAATGTCCCTGGGGTCACATAGAGTCGGGTGGCTGAATGAGTGAACAACAAAAATCAATAGTGATTTAGAGTATTTTTTCATATGATTATAGATAGCTATAATTTTTTTTCTTCTGAAAGCTTCCTGTTTATATCCTTTGACCATTTATCAACTGGGGAATGGCACTTATTTTTATAAATTTGACTCAGTTCCCTATATATTTGAGAAATGAGGCCTTTATCACAAATACTTGATGTAAACTTTTGGGAAATTACTTCTTTGTCTATGGTACCTTTGAGTAAAATATAGTTTCCCTGATTATCGCTTTAAATTAGGTTGATTTTGCTTTTGCTTTGTCTGATTACTAACCCTGCCTTTTTTACTTTAACCGAAGCATAATAGATTCTACTCCAGCCTTTTATTTAAAAAAAAGTGTGTCTCTTGTAAATAACATATTGTTGGATTCTGGTTTCTAATTCATTCTGTTATCTGCTTCCATTTTATGGGTGAGCTCATCCCATTCACAGTCACAGTTATTATTATCTGTGTATTTCCCTCCATCCTATTTTCTTATGTTTCTCTCTCTCCCTCCCTCCCTCTCTCTCTCTCTCTCTCTCTCTCTCTCTCTCTCTCCTCAAAACTCTAAAAACTCTTAATTTGCTTTTGACCTTAATCCACCTTCTTTTTATCATCACTTTCTTATCTCTTATCTTCTCTCCCTCTGATTTCCCTACTGACTCAGATACATTTCTATGCCCAACTGAGTGTGTATATATATATTCTTCCCTCTTTGAACCAATTCCAATGAAATTGAAGCTCAAGAATTGCCTGCCTCTCCCCACCACCCATTTTCCCCTTCAGAGTAAAAACTCTTACTTGCATGCCTCTTCTTTGTGAGAAAAATTTACAGTTTTGATCTCTCCCTTCCCCCTTCTTCCAGTGAATCCTTCTTTCTCACTATTTCATTTTTTTTTGAGATCATCCCAATCAATCCCAATCAACTCATTCTCATACCCTCTGTTTATGTAGACTTCTTCTAACTGCCATAATAATGATAAAGTTCTTAGGAGTTACAAGTATCATCTTCCCATATAGGAATGTAAACAGTGCTTTAAACACATTAAGTTGCTTGTGATTTCTCTTCCATGTTTACCTTTATGCTTCTCTTGAGTCTTGTGTTTAAATATCAGATTTACTATTAGGTTCTGGCCTTTTCATCAGGAATGCTTGAAAAAGTGCTCTGTTTCATTAAATGTCCATTCTCTACCTGCCCTCCCCCGAAAACAAAACAAAACAAAACTACACTATACTATAGTATGTGCTATGCTACAGTATATACTATACTATAGTATAAACTTAGTTTTGCTGGATAGGTTATTCTTTGTTGAAATTCTAGCTCCTTTGCCTTCTGGGATATCATGTTCCTAACCCTCTGATCCTTGAAGTTGCTAAATCTTGTGTGATCCTGACTGTAGCTCAATGATATTTGAATTGTTTCTGGCTGCTTGCAATATTTTCTCCTTGACTCAGGAGCTCAGGAATTTGGGTATAATATTTCTAGGAGTTTTCATTTTGGGATCTCTTTTCAGAGGTGATCAATGTATTCTTTCAATTTGTATTTTGCCCTCTGGATCTAAGATATCAAAGTTTTCCTTGATAATTTCTTGAAATATGATGTCTAGGTTATTATTTTTTTTATTATGGATTTCAGACAGTCCAATAATTCTTAAGTTATCTCTCCTCAATCTATTTTCCAGGTCAATTGTTTTTCCAGTAAGAGAGCTCACATTTTCTTCTATTTAAAAAAAATTCTTTGATTTTGCTTTATTGTTTCTTGATGTCCCATAGTCATTAGCTTCCACTTGCCCAATTCAAATTTTTAAGGAATTATTTTCTTTAGTGAGCATTTATATCTCTTTTCCCATCTGGCCAATTATGATTTTTAAGGTATTATTTTCTTCAGTACTTTTTGTGCCTCTTTTATAAACCAAGCTGTGAATTCTCTTTTCATAATTTTCTTGCATCACTCTCATTTCTTTTCCTAATTTTTCCTCTGCCACGGTCATATTTTTCTTTAACTCTTCCAGGAATTCTTGTTGGGCTTTGATTGAATTATCATTTTTCTTTGAGACTTTGTAATTGTTTTCATGTTGTCTTCTTCTGAATTTGTGTCTTGGTCTTCCCTGACACTGCAGGAGCTTTTAATGGTCAAATTCTTTTTTTGCTGTTGGCTCATTTTTCTACCTTATTTTTTTTAGCTTTGAATTTTATGTTAAAGTTGGGCTCTACTCAGCTTGTGGTGGAGAGGCATTGTCCCAAGATTTAGGCCTTTTTGTGCTGCTGTTTTCAGAGATAGTTCTGGGGGTTTGCGAATTTTCAGTCCTTCCAAGGTGGTGTGATGTGGAGAGAGCTGTGGTCCCTGCTGTATCTGTGCTCTGGTCTTTACCCAGGAAACCCCCTGCCCCCTAGTAGCCACAAGATGTAATGCTCCTCTTAGCTCTGATACTGTGACCGGGTCCCCTGCTCCCTTGTGACCGACCACCAGCACTCTTTTCTGCCTTGGAACTGTGATCCAGAACTGTGTGTGGGTGGTAGAGTTGCATAGATTGCCAGTTGCACCCAATGTCAGCAAAGGGTCTCCTGTAATCTCTTTCTGACCAACTGTCCAACCATCTCTGGACTGAGAACTCCCAAAGCTGCTGCTGCTGCCACCACCTTCAAAGTCTGCCACTGGTGCTGCTGCAGCATGTGCTCTAGACAGGCCACTACCCTGGTGTCACAGACTTCTCCTGCCAACCTTCTAAATTGTCTTATGGTAGAAAAATATCTCGCTTCGACTTGTTGTTGGCTCTTCCACTCCAAAATTTGATCTGAGGCATTATTTTAAAGTTGTTTGGAGGGGAAGAGGAGTGTTGAGAGAATTCAGCTGGGTTGCTGCCTCTCCTCTGCCATGTTGGCTCCACCCCTCCCAGAGGTTATTTTTGAAACATAAATGGCAAGATTTGTTTTTGTTTTGGTATTATTTGCAGCAAAGAGTGGAGTGTCCCAGGAATCTAGCCTTGGCTCCTGTGCTCATCAACATTTTTGTCAATGACTCAGATGAAACTGTAGAAGGCATGCTTGTCAAATTTGCAGATGAAACAGAGCTGGGAGGGATAGATGGTGCTTTGGATGACAGAGTCTGGGTCCCAAAAGAGCTGATAACCTGGAATGATGAGCTAACGTGAATAACATGAGATTTAACAGGAATAAATATTAAGTTCTATGCTTGGGTTCAGAACATCTGCTTTACCAAGTACACAGTGAGGGAATTGTGGCTATACAACCATTCTCTGTAAACAAGATTGAGAGGTTATAAGAGATAGCAAACAATGTAAGTTTCAGTGTGACAGGGCTGCCAAATCAGTTAACGTTATCCTTGGTTGCATTGAGAAGCCATAGTTCGTGCGTGATAGGAAGTTCTAAAAGCATAATTTTTATGATCATTGATTTAGTGAAATGGAAAAATTCCCTAGGGAAACCCCCTGGCTCCCATTCAAGATTGTGGAAAAAATCTTTCCCATATATCTTTTGTTATTGGAACATCTTGAGAGAATCCTCATGTTACATAGCAATTTTTCCCCCTTTTCTTTTTCAACTACTGGATACAGTGGATGAACTGACTCAAAATGTTGCTGTTTCTCCCATCCCCTCCACATATTCCATTCACCAACACAGAAGATAGTTTAAAATGAATTCAGATAGTGGTCTATGAACTAAGTGGGAAAAATAATAAGTTGAAAAAATTCTACTTGGTTAAACAGTAAATGATGCTAGAAAATTGTGATTAGTCACGCAAATGGAAAATACAGGAATGATATTTTAAGATTTAGAAAAATAGTTTTTTATACAAAAATGACAGAGGCTACACTCCCACTGTATATCGTCCTGGTTAGAACACATCTGGGATATTGGGTTCAATTCTGATGGCTGTATTTTAGGAAGAACATTATAACCAGGCTGGAATATATTCAGAAGATGTAGATTAGATTGGCAAAAGGATTGGAAACACACAAGGATTCATTGAAGAAACTGGGGATGGTTAGCCTGGCAAAAAAAATTCTTAGGGAGTGGGGACGTGCTACCTATCTTCAAATGTTTGCAAAGCTGTCATATGGAAGTGGGATTAGATTTCTTCTGTTGAACTACTGAGAAGAGAGCTTGAAGTGCATAGTGATAGAGGCACATTTAGGCTTGGTGGTAAAGAAAAGTTGTATGACATTGAGAACTTTCCCAAAGTGGAATGAGTTTCCTTGGGAGAGAGTGGGATGTCTTCTCCTCGGAGGTCTTTATTTAGAGCCTGGAAGACCACTTCCTAGGGATGTGGCAGAGGAATTCTTGGTCAGAAATGGATTGCAATAGGTCATCCTTGAGGGCCCTTCTAAATCTCAGATTCTATGATGCTGTTGTATGTGAGAACTCAGAATAAACTTATGGAACCCAACAATTAGGAAGTAGAACAAGAAATAGAGAAGTTGAATTAATTTATATTTTGGTCTATTCTTTTGTTTCTCCACAGAGTGTCACTCTTCCCTAGAAACTTGTTCAGCTTGGCAATATCTGTGTAGGACAGGAAATGCACACGTTTTATTTTTGAGCAAACCGTAGCTTCAAATATCTCTTACATTTAAAAAAATGTAGTTTAATGATAAAACAATGTAGTTTTATTTATTAATCAGGCTACAGTTTATCACAATGTCTCAGAAAATGTCAGATTAAAAAACTTTTTAAAATTTATTTTTTTGTTATATTTTAAGTTCAGAACTTTCTCTCTCTCTTTCTCTTTCTCCCTGCCCTACATTAGAGAAAGCCACCATTTCATACACACACACAACACACACACACACACAACACACACACACACACAATCATACTATACATACTTGTATTTATCAGTTCTTTCTCTGGAGATGGATAGCATCTTCCTTCATAAGTCCTTTGTAATTGATGTGAATATTTATAATACTCAGAATAGCTTAGTCATTTACAGTTATTCCTTGAGCCATATTGTTGTTACTGTATTCAACATTCTTTTGGTTCTGCTCATGTCACTTCTTATTTCTTATTAAGTCTTTCCATGTTTTTCTAAAGTCAACCTGTCATCGTGTCTGACAGCACAGTAGTATTACATCACAATCATATTCCACAACTTGTTCAGCCATTTCCCAATTGATGGGCGTCCCCTCAATTTCTAGTTCTTTGCCACCAACAAAGAGAGCTGCTATCAATATTTTAGAATGTTCAGATTCTTTTCCTTTTCCCCTGATCACCTTGGGAAACAGACCTAATAATGGTATTGCTAGGTCAAAGGGCATACACAGTTTTATAACTTTTTGGTCATAATTCCAGATTGTTCTCCAAAATAACTGGACCAGTTTATAATTCCACCAACAGTGTATTATTGTCCCTATTTTTTCCATATCCCTTTGAATATTTGTCATTTTCTCCTGTAATTTTAGCCAATATAATAGGTATGAGATCTTAAAATTATTTTAATTTGTATTTATTTAATCAATAATGATTTAGAGAATTTTTATATAACTGTACATAGGTTTGATTTCTTTATCCAAAAAGTGCCTGTTCATATCCTTTGACCACTTATCAATTGGGGAATGGCAAATATCAGATTTCTAAAAGTAAATTTAAAATTTGCATAGAAACAATTCTAAAATGAACAAATAATGTTTTCTTTTTATTGCTTTTGAAATGGGATATCTCTCTTATGCCCCAAATGTACTTATATATGTATATAAGTACTTATAAATGTAATTATATTCTTTACCATATGCGTACTTGGAAGCTATATAGACTTTAGCGACAGGAATATCTATTTTTTTTTCTAATTTTACAGGAAAAAAGGCAGTAAAATAGTTTCCAAAAGAGTCGATGACTTCAATGAAAAGTTTCAACACAAACTTGGAAAAGTCTGGGATCCGTAAGTTAAAGATAAAGTTTCCAAGTAATAGATTTTTTTCACTGTTTTAGAAAAATACTGTGCTCAGCACTGATTTTCTTTTTCCATATATCTTTCTGTTAAATTCAAGAAGAATCTTTAAATTTTGATCATGAGCAACACTTTAATGCTTTGGTGACCCCAAAAGTGATGGTTTATATTGGTTAAGAAACCATCTCACAGCAGGGCATGAGCACTACTTCCTGTCACTAGGGAGTCTAAGACTGGTGGATTGCTTTTGTTTTGAGTTTTGAACTTTAGTAGCTAAAGCTGGTCGAGTGTCCTCACTAAATCACCACCAATATGATGAGCCCTGAGGGTCACAAGTTGCCTAAGGAGAGGTGGACCAGCTCAGGTCAGAATCAGAGCAGATCAAAGCTTTCATTCCCACCATGGGTTGGACCTGTGAATGGCCATTGATTTTACGTTTCTGTTCAGAATGAGATAGGACGGCCTAGTCTCAAAACAAAACAAAACAAACTACCTCCATGAGCCCAGACTTGCATATATTATCTCACTTCTATGTTAAATGGGGTCTGTTTGGAATTTTTGGTTTTTAAAATCTGGGATACTGTAGTACTTAGCCATAATTACAGCAAGGGGCACATGAGACCAAGTGTCAGTTTAAGCAGAATTACTTAATCTTTATTTTTTCATTGAGGTTTAAGTAGAAGGGATATGCTGTTAAAAGAAAAAGCAACTTTGATGTTTGACAGACATAATTTATTAAATGAGATGATGTATGCACAATTGTTTACAAATTATAAAGCACTATTTACATAATTGCGAAGTATTACTATTTTATCCTTTTTACCTACTTTGAGTTCAGATAGAGATGACTCTGGGACAGTATTTAGTATAAATATTAAATTTACTTTCTTTACCTTAAGCAACAGAAAGAAAATAATTCTATGTTCAACATAAAAAAATAATTGCAGGATAGGGATCTGCCCTAGGAGGGTTTTTCTTTTTAAAACCAAATTCCATGCAACTAAATGAGAAAAATGGGATAACAAGAAAAATAACAGCTTAAACTTCTGTCACGGATTAAGGTTTTGTAAGGCACTTTATGTACATCATCTCATTTGACAAATTAAAGATTTGTCAAAGCATTGACATTTTTTTCATCATCCTATCTCTTCTAGTTCAACCAAATGATCAAGATTAAGTAAAGCTTCTCAAAATATTATTATTGTCACTACCATCCTCCTCCTCCTCCTTCTCATTGTCATTATTAATAACTTGGTGTGAGCATTCCCTCCTCCCAATGAAGATAGAAACTCTTCAGTGCCTTACTCTTTGGGATTCTTGCCTGCATTTTACCTATAAATCCTCCATCTAACAATGTACGGGAGGGAGATATTTAAAATTCCAGGGGTGCTACGTGACAAACATTTTAATGGTAGCATTTGTTTTCATATTGATAGCATTGAAGAAACAATGAATGTTCCACCAGACCACACATTTGGAATATTTCTGCATCCAGATGAATATGGTAAATATATAGCTTTCTTCTAAAGTGTAAAAAACCATGGAGTTCAATTAAATATTTACTTCCTTTACGAGTCCCACACTAAAAAAAAATGAATCACAAGGTTGTGTTTTTGTTAATGGAACAAAACAAAGTGAAGAAAAGAAACATTCATTTTATGTCATTTTATTTGAGGGATGAAAAACTTTATTCCATGGTAGTATGTCCCTTTAAACTTAAAAAAAAAATTGGATCTTACTGAACAAATACAACCTCCTTATATAAAATATGCCTATCCAACCAAAAGGAAAAGGATAATAATGCATTTGTTTTTTTTTTCCTTGGCATCCTTTGACCCTAGCAAAGTGCCTGGCAGAGAGTAGATACTTAATAAATGCTTATTGATTTGGATTTAAGTAGTGTAATGAACAACCAAATAGCTGAGACTAATTTTCAAGTCATTAGAGGTCACATGTCATTATGAGTAGGCAGCTGACCTTGGAGCCAGGATTAAGTTCTGCCTCTCATGCATACTAGCTCTTTGACTACACAAATCACTTAACCTCTTACACAGTGCTCCAGTATTATTAATTGCTGTGAAGGTGTTAACATACATTGCAAGAGGGAGCGGCCACATCTGAAGTTTCTTAGACCAATCAAATCACAGGGTCCAGTCTCCATTGTTAACAATCTAATACTATAGTGGATCTATTATCTTATTGGTTTTATATATATATATATATATATGTATATTCTCAAGAGGGATACAGGTGGTCAGCAAGCATTTATGAATCACCTACTATGTGTGCCAGATCCTGTGCTGAGCTCCAGGGATATGAAGAAAGGCAAAAGACATTCCCTGCTCTCAAGGGTCTCAAGTCTAATGGGAAAGACAACATGCAAACAAGATATATGTAGGATAAATTAGAGATATTCAATAGAGGGAAGGCACTAGCATTAAGGGGAACCTGGAAAGGTGAAATTTTAGCTGATGCTTGAAGGAAGCCAGGAAAACCAGGAGGTGGATATGAGGAGGTAAAGTATCCCAGGCATAGGGGCAGCCAGTGAAAATCTACAGTCAGGAGATCTACAGTTGGTATTTTGTGGTAGGAATAGTAAGAATGACAATGCCATTGGATTGAAGAGTACATGGAAGGGAGTAAGGTATAAGAAGATTGGAAAGGTAGTTAGGAACCAGGTTATGAAGGGGCTTGAATGACAAACAGAGGATTTTATATTTGATCCTGGAAGTGGTAAGGAGCCATTGAAATTTTTTGAATGGGGTGAGGGTGACGTGGTCAGACTTGTGCTTTATAAAGATCATTTTGACAGGTGAGTGGAGGATGAACTAAGGTGGGGAAAGACTCCAGGTTAGCTCAGAACTTTTCTAGTCCTGCACATCCTATGATGTTCTGGTCCACATCCTCCAACAATCCACTACAGAGGGTCTACTCAGCATGCTTGGATATTTCTTCACATCCTTTTGGCATCGTGAGGATGGCCAGTAGACCAGGAGGGCCATCCATTCTCATCATGTGAGCAGCCTATCTTATCTTTTTTTTTTTGAACACACCTATTCTTCAAGTATTCAACCTCAGTTTGAGATTGAAACACCCTTTATACTGAGTGCCTTAAGAAAAAAAAAGTTGAGATACATTAGGCTTGAAATTATATATCATCAAATCAACAAACTTTTGCTGAGTTTTTATTATATATTAGCAATTGTGGTATACCATCTCTTCAACTCATTGCTAATCCATGCCTATACTGACAATTCTGTTTTCACCTCAATGGTTTTTTTTTTCTAACTGAGGGTTTCTGGCCTTTTTAAGTGCTCTTAGCACATCAATATGATGGTGAGTTACAAAATGCAAAAATTAGCTCTGACCATAAACCTGTCAACAGATGGTTAAAACCTACTAATCTCCTGATTGTTGAAACATTGAAGACTTCCTTTGCTGTTGTTTGATTGTGTCTGACTCTTTGTGACCCCATTTAGGATTTTCTTGGCAAAGGTACTATAGTGGTTTGACATTTCCTTCTCCAGCTCATTTTACAGATGAGGAAATTGAGGCAAAGAGGGTTAAGTGACTTGCTCAGGGTCACACAGCTAGTAAGTGTCTGAGGCCAGATTAGACCTCATGAAGATGAGCTTTGATTCCAAGACCAGTGCTCTATTCACTGAGCCACCTAGCTGACCTAAAGACTTCCTTAATTATACAAAATAATGAGATTAGGAACCTTCTTAATATTGAAAAAAACAAGGTTTCTTTATTTCTTTTTTTTTTTTTTTTGGCTAGGCAATGGGGTTAAGTGACTTGCCCAGGGTCACACAACTAGTAAGTGTTATGTGTGTGAGGCTGGATTTGAACTCAGGTCCTCCTGAATCCAGGGCCAGTGCTCTATCCACTGTGCCACCTAGCTGCCCCCTCCTTTCTTTTTTTTGGTAAAGCAATTGGGATTAAGTGATTTGCCCATGGTCATACAACTAGTAAGTATCAGGGCTGGATTTAAACGCAGGTCTTCCTGTTTCCAGGGCCAGTGCTCTATCCACTGCTCCACCTATCTGCCCCTAGAGCAAGGCTTCTTCTTCTTCTTCTTCTTTTTTTTTTTTTTTTTTGCTTTTTTGGTGAGGTAATTGCAGTTAAGTGACTTGCCCAGGGTCACACAGCTAATAAGTGTCAAGTGTCTGAGGTCGGATTTGAACTCAGGTCCTCCTGACTCCAGGGCTGCAGCTCTATCCACTGCACCACCTAGCTGTCCTTACAAGGCTTCTTTCAAGAGGAAATCTGGTCACTAAAAATGAGAAACTTTTGGTGGAATTCTATTTTACACATTAAATAGCCAATTTGTTAGTGTAAGACTTCTTGGTGCAGTGGGAACAATGCTCAATTTGGAGTTACGGTGCCTGCATCGAGGTGCAGATTGCCAACACGGGCCAAATCACAGCCTCTTTGGATGTTGGCTCCTTATCTGTAAAACGAGAAGTTTAGATGACAGAGAACTCCACAATTCCTGAGTTTTTATTTTTGTTCCATCTAACCCAACTGTTTAATTGAAAATGGATTTTATTGAGGGTAAACGCTCACTGAAGAAATTGAAGATAATTGATAATAGAATTTGAAATTGAAGATAATTGGAGATAGAATATCAAAATACGAATTTTTGTAATAAGGTACAAAATGGATTTTAAGAAAGTAATTTCTTCTTAAGCAGTGAAACAGTGCAAAACCATTGCATTTGTCAGACACATCTATAAGGAGCTGTATTTTTAATGGTAATAGTTGTTTTAAGTGTCTAGATTTAGACTTTTTTTTTCAAAAGAGGTTGATTCGTTATTATTATTATTACTATTATTATCATTGTTATTACTCAAATGGGGATAGTATCGCTATATCTTTGGCACAAGCCCGAGATCCCGTGGTTGTGTTCCAACAGGAGCTGGCGACCTCATTTACAACCGACTACCTGGCCAGTATCTGCGTGGCAAGGATAGGGAGCGGGCTGTCTTTGCGGCGGTTCGTCAGCATCTGAAGAAAGTGAACTATTACAACTTTGACACTTTGCTGGAGGCGTTCCGGCATTTTGACAAGGTTGGTGATGCGATGGCTTGTTATTTATTTGGCCATGTAAATCAGTCTTGTGGAGATGTCGTAAAAAATCCTAGAACCTAGATTGTTTCCAGACTAGAAAACGTAGGCAGGTCTAAGTGGGGAGTTAGGGAATTATTTAGGAATTTCACTGTTGTAGAAGGGCAACTACATGACCCAGGTCAAAACACTTCAACCCAAACTCTGTAGATTTACTAGTTATCAGAGCCATAATTAGTGTGGGGTGATTTGGGCTTTGCTCCAGGTTGCTGACATCTGGGGAGGCTGTGTGCTACCATCCACAGGATTCTGTGGCACCCCTCCTGGAACCTGGCATCACCTACCTTGGTGCCCTCTGTTTACTGTCTCAATCCTTGCCATCCATTCCCAGTGATGGTTGGGGGCTATCAGCCATGGTAAAGGGGTCTAGGGCCATGGTTTCTGGGAAACAAACTATCTTTTCCTCATAGGAATGCTTGCTGGGCTTGGGGATCCATACCACACCCTTCATGGATGGGGATTGCCTCAGATCAGTAGTGATGTCCACATGTCTTAGAATCCAAGGTCTCCCCACACCCCAGGGAGGCTCTTTCTCCTCTCAGCTGACTTTGCCTCAGGCACTAGAATTCTTAGTTAAGGTTCTACCAGTTATTGAACCTGAAATTGGGAGGAAAAAGAGAAACAAGATGAAATATGCATTGTTTTTTTCCAGAGAAAAAGGTAAGTAGGACTATCTATATTATAATGCTTGATGGGAAGAGAATTTCAATTTCTCCTAAAATAAGAATGGTATCCTACTTGCCTTCAAATATTGACTATAATGCTTAAATTTGTTTTTCTAATGTTTTTTATCATTTAAAATTCTCTACTGCCTGTTTTATTGCAGGTCCCATTTGGTTCCTTTCAAGGCCTCAGGCTCTATACCTCTACTGGAATGAAAGATAGCAATAGTTTAATTTTAAAAATTTCTTTATTCTCTTTTTGATTAATAAGTATTTCTTTTTCTTCCCATCCATTAGAAAAACAACAGCAATGATGACAATAAAAACAAAGCAAAAACCCTTGTCCAAATGTGTATAGTCAAATATTTTGCATTGGCCATAACCAAAAAAGTGTGTCTCATGCTGCATCTTGAATCTATTGCCTAGCAATAGTTGGGTAGCATACTTTATTATTAGTCTTCAAACTATAAAGCACTGTATAAATGCTAGCTGTATTATTGTTGATGTTTTTGGTTTGCTGTCTCAATCCTTTGACAATCCTCACTCAGTTGAATTAGAGTTCTTAAGTTTTCTAAAATTGTTTGAGCAATGCTGTTTTTATTCTAATTTTTTGCTGTATTTTTTTCTCACTTCATTCTGCATCAGTTCATAGAAGTCTTCCCAGTTTCTCTGAAACCATCTTTTTTGTTATTTCTTAAGGTACAATTAGTATCCCATTTGCCGTAATTGGTTCAGCTCTTCTCCAATTGATTGGCAATCCCTTAGCTACTGGACCTTTGCCACTACAAAAAGAGCTTCTTCTATAAGTATTTTATAGAGAGTCCTTTCCCTCTTTTTTTTTTTGACCTCTTGGGTTATAGGGCTAGTAGTAGTAATACTGGGTCAAAGTATATAGATAGTTTAGCAACTTTTGGGACATAGTTCCAAATTGTTTTCAAAAATGGTTGTATCAATGCATAGTTCCACCAACTAACTGTACATTAATGTACAATTAATGCTTTCTAGTAATAGTTTAATACATATTATTCAAATGGAATTGATTTTATAAGAACATCTGTATACACACAACTCCACTTTCTCACAAAATTGGTGGTTAAAGAATACCTAACTACCCAATTTGCTTGTGTAGAATCTTGCTTGACACAAAACCTTTTATATGTGATTTTGAGCACATAAAATTACAGACTAGACGCTGGCTATTTTGAAAATTAGCAACAAACTAAAATTAGAAGTGTCAGCTAAAATAAGGACTTTATCGTCCTCATTCCAATCTAGCTCAATTTCAAAGATTACTCCAGGAAAAAAAGTATACATAGGAATGGATTGAATGTAAAACTCCCTGGTGGAAATGCTAGTGCACATTGATTGCTCTCTATATCCATTCATCAATCAATAAACATTTGTTAAGTGCTTGCTATGTTCCAGGCACTGTGTCAAACACTGAGGAAATATGAAAAGGCAAAAGACAGCCCCTGCCCTCAAGGAGCTTACAATCTAAAAGGGGAAACAACATTCAAACAAATATATAAAAAGCAAGCTATTTATACAGGATGAATAGGAAATAAAAGAGAGAAAACACTGGATTTAAGAGGTGTTAGGGAAGGTTTCCTGTAGAAGGTGGGATTTTGGTTGGGGCTTGAAGGAAACCAGGGAGATGAGTAGTCTGGGTGAAGGAAGAGCATTCCAGGCATGGGGGACAGAGAAAATGCCTGGAGCTAAGAGATGTAATATCTTGTTTATGAAATATCTAGGAGGCCAGTGTCATTGGATTGAAGAGTACATGTTGGAGAGTAAAATGTAAGAAGACTGGAAAGGTAGGAGGGGGCTAGGATATGAAGGACTTTGAATGTCAAGCAGAACATTTTGTATTTGCTGCTGGAGGCAATAGGAAGCCCGTAAAGTTTACTGAATAGCTTTACAGTCATATATGAATGAATGAATGAATGAATGAATGAATGAATGAATGAATGATTTATTACTATGTGCAAAGCACTGTGCTAAGTGCTGGGGATAGAAATAAAACAGACAGTCTCCGCCCTCCATAAACTCTCATTCTAATGGTAGAGGCAATACATATAGAAGGTTTCAGCAGCAAGTCAGATGGAAAGGTCTCATGGTCCTTAGGAGCCAGAATCAAAGTAGATGCTCATGCCTCTTCTCTAATATCATTTCTCCTGATAAAATCACATTATTTTCTGATGTTGAATCATTTGACAGTGGGCTAGAAGCATTGCAATTCCAAAGGCTCTTTATTTCCATTGGAGCTGAGGGCAGATGGTGGTCAAAGTACTGGTAGTTTGACTTACCTGGTGCATGCCTCCTATCTTTCCTTCAAGCTTTGTTGCTTTAGCTAAGTTTGGTTTACCTGCTCTGTGAGTAGCAGTTGTTTGGGATAGCCGGTCTTTTGTCTGCAGAAGTTGCTTCCATAGACAATGGTTGTGAAGGCTAGGCCAGAAGTGGGACTGGTGGCCTGGGGCTCCTGCATTCATCCACCTATTGGTGGTAATTGACCAACAGTTGTTACTGGTGGGTGGTAATGAGGAAGGCAGGTCCCTTCCCCACAATGATTTATTCCCTCAATGGGCTGTGGGGGCTAGGCTGGAAGCAGACCCAATGGCTTGAGTGACGCTGCTTTCCCAAGGCTTTTGGGTTTAGGTTCCTGGGCTGTGTGTATCTGAGGGGAGATGATGGTCAAGGTGATGGTAGGGTTTTGCCTTGCTTGGCACATGCTGCCTCTTGTTGGCACTTGGTGGGGATGGATAACCTCTTGTCCACAGGAGTTTCTTCCTTGGACAATAGCTGAGAGGACCAGACAGCTACTCTAAGTGTTGTTCCACCCCAACGCTGCAGTACTCCTGTATTTAGATATTGGCCGGTGATGTTTTGGACAAAATCAGAAGGAGTGGGTTTGAGTTCTGACTCTTTCATTCACTAACCAACATTGGGCAATTCACTTTACATCCTAAATAAAGTCTTTGGGCTAGATGGTCTAAGGACCCTTTTGGTCTCAAAATGTCATACACATTTTGATGAACATTTTTAAATGTTCATCACTACAAGTGGTACCATATTTTGCATATTCTAATCCTCTCCAAAGGTTTCTCCCTTTATAACATTTTCCATAAAAGTGTCTTCTTCACTTATACAGCCTGCGCCCTGATGTAGGTGGTCCCTTATTACCTCCCACCTGGACTATTGCAATGGCCTTCTGGTTGGATTTCCTGCTCCAGGTCACTCCCTACTACAGTCCATACTCCACTCAGCCGCCACAATTAGCTTCCTAAAGCACAGGTCTGATGATGGCACTTCCACTTCCCTCTACTTAAACTCCACCTATTCTCTCTGACCACCAGGATGAAGAAGGAAATTCTCAGTCTGACTTAAAGGCCCCTAGAATCTGGCCCCTTCCTACTTTTCCATCTTCTTAGACTTTATTCCCCTCCACACACTATGATGTAGCTGCAGTGACCTGGCTGTTACTCACACATTACTTGTGCCTTTTCACAGACTGTCCCCACCTCTCCTCCACTCCTGGATGCTTCCCCTCCTGTTCATTTTGCCTGTGGACTTCTTCCAAGTCTTAGGTCAAAGTTTACCTTCTAGGAATTCTTTCCTGCCCATCCATGCCCTCATCCCTCAGTGCCTTCCCTCTGACCTTACCTTTCACTTCCACTTTATATATCTCCTAGGTACATAGTTCTTTGCATATGGTCTCTCATTAGAATGGGAGCTGCTTGAGGGCAGGGTCTGTTTTTCTTTTTGTGCCCTCAGTGCTTTCTTTTTGTGAGGCAATTGGGGTTAAGTGACTTGCCCAGAGTCACACAGCTAGTGAGTGTTATGTATCTGAGGCCGGATTTGAACTCAGGTCCTCCTGACTCCAGGGCTGGTGCTCTATCCACTTCGCCACCCAGCTGTACTCTCCCCCTTCCCCCAAGTGCTTTCTTAGCTCAGTGCCTGGCTCATAGTAAGAACTTCATAATTACTTGCTTGGTGGTGGTTTTTGAGAGAAGTAACTGTTCCCTAGACCTCTGCAGAATAATTTTGGGCTCCTGTAACTTTATGAAGTTAGAAGCCCAGATCCCAAATATAGGAAAACCTCTGCTTACATATAGAACTTCTTTTTGTCATGTCTCTTAAGGCATTTCACTTGGCCAAACAGTGCCTGCACAGAAAAGAAATGAGATGACTCTTTTCTCTCTTGGGTATCTGGTTATACTCCCTTGACTTTTTGTCCCTTTCTGCTAGTGGACACAATCCATAATCTTCAGGCCACCATAGCACATTGAAACGTGAAAGGAACATCTGTTCCTTGGCTGGACACCTTCTGTCTATTTGATTTTCCAGCTTTGCTCTTTTTTTATTAGTCATCTCTGACACCCACTTTGCAAACCCAACTAAATAACTATTTACTTAGCTATAGAAACAATCACTGCGGTAATTCATGATTGTTGGCCATGGGAACAGAGGTGGAAGGGACTATAGGGGTCATTCAATGCAACTATTTCATTTTACAAAGGGAGAAATTGAGGATGAGTGAAGGAAGTGATTTCCCCACAGTCATAGACAGTGGCAGAACTGACCTCTGTATCAGAGCTTTTGTCTCTGTGTATTCTCCACACTTTGAATGCTCTCCCATCTCAGAGGAAGGGTTCTTAACCTGGGATCAGTGAATTTTGTTTCTCTTGAAATATGTATTTTGATAACTTTGTTCAGTTGTTTTTCAGTCATGTCTGACTCTTTGTGACCCCATTTGGGGTTTTCTTGGCAAAGATACTGGAGCGGTTTGCCATTTTTTTTCTCCAGCTCATTTTGCAGATGAGGAATGAACAAACAGGGTTAAGTGACTTGCCCAGGGTGACACAGCTGGTAAGTGTCTAAGGCCAGATTTGAACTCAGGAAAATTAATTTTTCCAGCACTCTATCCACTATGCCATCTAGCTGCCCCAATTTTGATAACTGCATTTCAATATAATTGATTTCCTTTGTAATCTTTTATTTTGGGCATTTAAATATATGATTCTGAAAAGGGGTCCCCAGGCTTCCCTAGACAGACAAAGGGGTCCAGGACACACATAAAAGATTTGGAATTTCTGCTTTAGAATCTTTATTCTCTTCCGAGGTTCAACTTAGATGTCATTCCTAGGGCAGTCTTTTTTTTTTTTAATTCCCTAGATGCTTGCATTCTTTCTGTCCTAGAGTTTTCTTGTGTTGACTTATCTGTATGTATCTTATTCCTCCCCAGTTGAATGGAAACTCCTGGAGGGCAAAGACTGTTTCACTTTTGTCCTTGTATCCCCAGCATTTACCCTAGTGCCTGGAATCTGGTTCAGTAGGAGATCCATATATGCTTCTTCAATTGAATTATGAGAAACATTCCTAAAGAAAAACAAGTTACATGCTTCATGCACAAATTCAAAAGTGGAGTGATGCCTTGACAGTAATATTTTAAGTGTTTTCATGTCATTCCCTTATGAATATGTAGCATACTTCCCTTGTATGATGTCTCTCCCCCTCTTTCTAATGTAAATCTCCAGAAAAGTGACCCGTCCATTGAGATGCTCTGTGGATGAAGACCCATTTAAACCTATTCTGGTACCTGTCTTTACCACCCAAACAAATTATTAGTTCAAAGCAAAAGATACTTGATAAAGTTAGACTACAACATTTGGCATCTTTGTCTCTCTAGAACCTAACTTATGGTATATTAGCAGGCAGCTAATAAATGCTTTTTTTGTTGAATAGAGTTTTTCCCTTGGGACCTCAAGCGTTCAGATTGAGAAGATTCCTTCTGATGGATGCATGGGTTACCCTCTCCCACAGGCTACCATGCTACTAGTAGGGAAGAGTAAAAGATATGCATGGCCAAAAAGCCACAGACATGGAAAGTCCACTTGTCCAGGGTGTACAAATAGAATGCACACATGTAGAGAAGAGAATATGCATTTAAATAGCACCTGTTGTATGCCAGGCTCTGTAGTACTTTTCAAATGGTATCTCTCACAACAACCCCAATTTCACAACAACCCCAATTATATCCCCATTTTACAGGTGAGAAAACTGAGGCAAACAGAGATTAAGGGACTTGCCTAGGGTCACATAGCTAAGTTGGATTTGAGCTGAGGTCTTCCTGATTCCAGGCCAGCTCTGTATCCACTGCGCCTCCCTAGCTGCCTCTAGGAGATACACATGACTAGGGGAGATATGTGAAGGAGGGAGCCTTCTAAGACAAGAGTCTCTGTTGCCAGGGCACACTTGTGGAGGGTACATATGTGAGGTCATGTATGGCCAGGTGATCCACACATGGCTAGGGCTATTTATGCTTCTGACCAATATTTCTAATCAGCTATCTAGTTAATATAGTATCTACAAAATAAAGACCATTGCAGCTTAATCATTGGTTCCTGATATAGATATGTAACTTCATGCAATAGTAAGCCTGCAGTAAGGCTAAGTGACGGTTATTTCATCTGAATAGGGTGAGAAATAGCCCCTGTGGAGAAGCAGGGAGGAGCAGAACATGCTTTTGCTTTTCTCCCTTATTTCTAACAGAATGGAGATGGGTTGATAGACAAACAAGAGCTCCAGAGAGCCTGTTCTCAGATGAACCTAGAACTAGATGAGGTGCTCCTGGATGAACTGTTTGATTACTGTGATCTGGATAAGGACGGCAGGATTAACTACCAAGAGTTCACCAATTTTTTGAACTGGAAGGACAAAATGCCCATTAAGGAATTTGAAGAAAAGATCCTCATCCGAGGTATGTGATTTTTAAGATGGTTTGAACGAATGGACAAAAAAGCATTGATAAGCTTGGCCTGGTGGTTCATGCCTGTGCTCCCCATTTCTAATGGGGCTGAGGCTGGCCCATCTCTTGAGCACCAGAGCTTTGACCTGCAGTGGGGTATGCCCATTGGGTGTCCTTGTTAAGTACAACATCAGCGTGGTGAGCCCTTGGGAACAGAGGGCCACTAGTTTGCCTAGAGGACAATCATGCTCTGGTTGGAAAAAGAGCAGGTCCAAGCTTTCAGTGTTGGTCAGTGATTGGATTGGGCCTGTGAGTAGCCCCTGACTTCTAGCCTGGGTAAGATGGAAAGGCTATATCTTCTATAGAAGGTCTGTCCTAGTTTTCCCAGCTGCTAATGCCTTCCCTTATGAGATGACCTTCCATCTACTCTGTATATATTTTGTACGTATCAAGTTATTTACACATTGTTGTTAAAATGACATTCCTTAACCAGGAGTGATGGCTCATATCTGTGGTCCCTGCTGCTGCTGGGGAGACTGAGGTTGGTGGATCACTTGAGTTTGGGAGTTCTGAGCTGCAGTGGGCTATACTGATTGGAGTCTACATTATGGCACAAATATGTTGATCCTGAGATTGGAGGGCTACATAATGAGGGGCAGTTTTTCCTGGTTGGAAAAATGGAGCCAGCTAAAGCTGGTCAGTATTGGGACTGGCCCATGAGTGGCCGTTGTATTTCCAGCCTGGGCAAGTTAGGGAGAGTCAGCCTCAAAAAATCCTGAGAAAAATAAAGATGTAAGCTACTTGAAGGCAAGGGACATTTTTTTTTCCAGAGCTTAGCACAGTGCCTGGCACATAGTAAGCCTTAATAAGTAACTGACTGACTTTGGCAAGAAGTAGAAAATTTCATCATTTGACTCTAAGTAATGGTAGCTGGAAATGCTTGGTACTGATCACAGTGGACATTTTCTGCTACTTTCTTAAAGGGAAAAAAATGTCAGAAGATCCTCAGTGCCTCCTTATTACTGGTACAGAATTAGAGGGCCAGGTCGCTCCTCTGATCAAGCCTGAAGATATTGTACAAGAAGAACCTGGAAAACCAATGAAGACTCCTCGGACTATCTCACGACCAACAGATAAAGTATTTGCTGATTATAAAACATCATCTTCTCAGATTAATTCAGTTGTAGGAGGCATTTCTCCAATGAGTGAGTATATTAGACTTTTTTTTTTGTTAAAGATCTAAGAGACACATATAAACATCAAGACAACATTCTCTGTGTTTTAGCTAGGCTGAATCAATGGCAAATCAGGAACTTAGCAAAATGAACATTTTATAAAAATTTGACTTTCACTGTGATTAGTTACAAAGGGTATTTACCCATTCCAGAATTCTTTGAGATAGAGTGGACATCAATTACTTTGGCAAGGGGAGGATTAAACGCCTTCTTGGTTCCCTCCCAGTTGCATGGTACCTTGACCTCCTCCCTTCTCCATCTCTTCCTCCTTCCTCAGTCTCCTCCTCTTCTTCCTCATTCCTCTTCTCTTTGCTCCCTCCTCCTTTTTCCTTTTGTTCTTTCCATCAGAGTAATTTCCAGATCTATTCTTCACGATAAGTCATTCAAAAGCCAGTTGATGCAGTGATGACAGCTGGAAGTATATGCAACATTCCACATTCACAGTCACCTACCAGCTCTTTCCAGAAAGGATGGAGGTGCATTTCCTCATCTCTGGGGCCAAGATTGGGCTTTAGAATTGCTTGGAGGTTTTCATTTTGGTGCTCTTGAAATTATATTGTTGTAGTTACTGTGGAGAATGAGTTCCTGGCTCTGCTGGCTTCACTCCAGTGCTTCATACACCCCACTATAATGGCATTGGAGGGGGAACAGAAGAAGAGGAGTTGCAGAGAGGCAAGCTTATGCTTGATGTAAGAGCTAGCCAGAGATGGAACTGGATGCCCCAGGAAGTAGCAAATTTTCCTCAATTGAAACAGATGGTACAGTGGATAGAGTGTGAGAAACCTTGGGTTCCAATGCTGCCTCAGACATTTAGTAGCTGAATAGCCCTGGGCAAACTGCTTAACCTCTCTGTTTCTCAGTTTAATCATCTATTAAATGGGGGTAGTAAGAGCACCTACTTCCCAGAGTTGTTGAGAGGATCAAATAAGTTAACATGTCCTTTTTGCAAACCTTAAAGTGCTGTATATATTTTAGCTATTATTATTCCTATTTTTTCTGAGTTTTTTTTCAACATTTGTTATGGCCCAAATAAGATTTCATGATGTTCATATGATATTTTGTTTCCGGTTTTTTGCTATTTCAAAAATTTTTGCTCTGACTGTATATGCGTATACACACACAAATGTGTGTATGAGAATGAGAGAGACAGACAGACAGACAGACGATGGGGACAGAGACAGATGACTGAGAGAGACAGAGACAGACAGAAAGACAGACAGAGAGAAAGAAAGAGAGAAGGAGACAGAGAATATGACCTTCATGCCTTTGACCTCTTTGAGGTAACTGTTCAGTAGTGTCAGGTAGGTGTTACAATAGCAGCTAGGTGTTACAATGGACAGAACATTGCACCTAGAGTCAGGAAGACAAGTTCAAACATTGCCTTATATATGTAGTAGTGGTGTGATTCTGGGGAAGTCACATAACTTCTTTTATCCTCAGTTTCCTCATCTGCAAAATGGGGATAATAGTACCTATCTCATAAGGTTGTGAATATTAAGTGATACAATATACTTAAAATACTCTGCAAAACTTTAAATCCTGTGTAAAGGTTAGCTATTATTATTAGTGGAATTTCTGGGTCAAAGGGCATGAATGGTTATTATTGTTGCATAATACCAAATTATTTTCCGTAATGGTTGACTCCATTCCCACTTCCCCTAAGACCGTATTGGAGTGTATTCTCTCCCAAGGGTCTCCAGCACTGACTGTCTCTGTCCTTCACCATCTTTGCCAGTTTCCAGCCTCATAATTCTTTTGTCCATCACATGCATCTTCAGAGGGCTGAAGGGGACCTTGTAGGGGGAGAGAGGTTCTCATCTCTCCACTGAGGAGGAAAGAATAATGAACTTTATGCTTTGGCTTAAATCTATCCATGTTAAGTAGAAATTAACATACATAATATTTGAAGATCCGTAGAATGGTAACTAGAAATTTCCATGCTTGGGGAAAGTGCAGGGGGGGGGGTGGAGAAGGCAGGGGTGGGGGACAGATCCCAGAGAAAAGCCTGGGGGAGTGAGACTCCTTGCTCCAGGTCACTCCTTGGGGGCTTGCCACTGGGTCAGGGAGCAGGGTGAGATTAGGCATTGGGGAAGCCCATCTGGTGTACAGGAAGGCCTCAGGATCCCGTCTCCAGAGTTCACTGTCCTTCATTTTCATTGTGTCGTGGTGGCTGTCAGGCAAGCTACTTGTGTTCAGGTTCAGTAATGCCAAGGCAAGGAACCTCTCTCCTATAGAGCCCGGCTTATACCCCTGAAATGAACTTTATTTGCTAACCCCCTAGAAGGAGGTGGAGGAGAGAAGTAGGTGGCCACCAGGGAGGCATGGTAGTTGGAGAAGGTGCAGCACTGGTCATTTCTCTTTATGCCAGGATGCAGTGAGAACCATGTAAGAGGCCATCGTGTTTGCCAGGTAGAAGCTGGAGGGAAGGAGGAAAGCTTGCTGGAAGTCCACTAGGAGAGGGCATATGCCCCTCTGAGTTTTAATAGCCTGGAACAAAGTCCTATTTGCCCTGCCCTAGTTACATCACTATAGGTTAAGAGGGGTTGACTTAGACCAAGGCAAATGACCACCATTGCTATCGTCGAACTTTGGTAGATCAATGACTTCCTCCTCTTTTCCTCCCTCCTTTCTTTCTTTCCTTCCTTCCTTCCTTTCTTCCTTCTTTCCTTCCTTCTTTCCTTTCTTTCTTTCTTCCTTCCTTCCTTCCTTCCTTCCTTCCTTCTTTTCTTCATTCCTTCCTCTCTTCCTCCCTCCCTCCCTCTCTCCTTCCCTTCTTCTTTTCCTCTACAAATTTCATATCCACCTGACTATCTAATATCCAGACTCTATATCTCAATCTAGTGCACAGATAACATGCGAGACTTTGTCAAATTCCTCTGTAAAATCCAGGCTCAACCCCAATTTCCTTGTCAAAAATCCCACAAAGGAGGGAAATGGAATCAGTCTGGCTTGACATTCTTGAACTTGTGCTGTCTCTTAGTGGTCACAATTTCCTTTCTGAGTGCTCATAAACCATTCCTTTAAAAAGTACTCTAGAATTTAACAGAGTCAAAGTGAAGCTCAGCAGCCCGTAGTTGGAAGAATCTACCTTCTTCCCACTCTTGAATACTGGGCTGTTGGCCCATTCTAGCCCTGAGGCAGTTGGGCTGCCAAAGGTCATCAACCATGTCTCAGCAGTCACTTTAGAAAGTTCTTTCAGGACCCTGGGTGGAGCTTGTCATTCAGGTCTGTTGCCTTGAACACTTTGAGAATGGTGAGGTGTTCTCATCATCTCTTTGCTTACCTTTAGCATCCACTCTGTTAACCATTTTTGTCCTATCCTTTTAGTTCAAAAGTGTTTTTCCTTGGCAGAGAAAATACTAGTAAAATAGGAGTTGAGTAGCTGATAGATTAAGAACTGCAAGGCACCTTAAAGGTGATCCAGTCTGCCCCTCTTATTTTATTGATGAGGAACTGAGACCCAAGGTCACACAAGTAAGAAAGCAGCAGGGCCAGGATTCAAACTCAGATCCTTTGCAGTTTCTGGCTAGCCTTCTGCTGCACCATGTTAACTGTCTCTCTTGTCTTTCACCATCCTTTACTTTTGTACCACCCCCCTCCACCCAGTAACAGGCCTAGCCCTTCTGTTCTCTTCCTTGTACTCCCAAACATAGTGAAAAGTCCCTTCCTTGTTCTTAGATTTATTGCCAACCTCATCTCATTTTGACCTTCACTGCTCCTGACACTACTTTTCCAGGGATTGTGTTACTCTGTTGTATTCATCCTTATTTTACTGTCTTTGCTTCAGTTTTCTAAATATGCCTTAAAAAAAAATCTGTTGGCCAGTGAAATAACTTTTTTTTCTTTCTTTTTTTTTCTTTTTTGGATAGCACTTAGATTTCATTGGTAAAGGGAACTCCCAATCAGGAAACATGCTTTATCAACACAGATTTCTACCTGCTCTTCAACTTAATACGCTTAGATAGTTGTCTGGGACTCTGTGAGGTCACCTGCCAGGGTCATGTAGCCAGTATATTTCAGCATAGCCAATAAGATATTTTCCTATTTACCTCAGTCTTACTTCCTTACTTCCTTCTTCATCTGAATCTTTCGTAGCTGTTAAGTCAGAATTATTTTCTTGAGGATACGCCATCCCTCCAGAGCTAGGATCTCCTATGGAATTTAAGACTATGGTATCCTACCAATCTTCTCTCTGCACTTCCCCAAATTTATTCTTCAAAAATATAGAGTACATCTGATTATGCCAAGAGGCTCCTTTCTTATTCACCCCAAACTCTTAGGGTCACTTTCCTCCAAGGTTTCTTCTTATTTTCACTTCCACCGGTTGACCAGTTGTCAGTGATATTGTAGAGGGGATTCTTGGTCAGGTTAGATTGGATTGGATGGTAGGACTCTGAGGCCCTTTCCTTCTCTGGCATTTCCTGATTCTGTGATTCTTGGAATTTTTGCTTCATTAATTAGGCCTTCCTTTTTGGTCATCAAGTACAGAAAAGCTGTTCCCCTTTTATCTTACTTCTTCTTTATTTTTGAAAATGAAGACAAATCAAGAAATTATTAGCTACTCTGCTTTGAGTCGAGAGTGCTCTAGCAAATGTCAAGATAGCTGAAATCCCTTGTCATTTCAATGCTGTACTTGTTTGCCAAGTTTGTTATCTGTTTCTTAAACTCATTACTTTTTTCTTTTTGATCAAGAGGTCTGTAGTAGACTTCCATATGACTTCTTTCATTATAATATGAATGAGCCTCCGTCAAATATTCTCTATTATATGCCTCCTCTCTTGATGTGAGCTTTTCCCCCCTACTAATTTGCAGATTTTGTTTCCTTTTCTCATGAATTTTCATTTTGTAGGTATCCCCACGTGCGGTGTTCCAACGATTCGTTCTGATGTAGCTTCCCCTCGTTACCGTCGCATTAGCGATAGAACCAATTATGGTGATTCAGGCACTGCTTATACATTGCTATACCCATCCATCTTCAGTGAAAAAGGAGTGTTTGAAAGAGACTTCTTTAAGGCTAGATCAAAAGATGAGGTACAGTATATTTTTTTTCAAAGTATCAAGTAAATATTAATTCTATCTGTATCTTCCTTTCTAGACTTTAAAAAACAAAACAAAAAAAGTTGAAGCTTTCTGCTGCAAAATTAATTAGAATGCCTGAAGCAGAGAACCTTTTGAATAACCCTAAATTTGGTTGTGAAGGTTTTGCACAGTTCTGGAGAAAGAAAAGTAGAATGGATCTGTATGTATTACAAATCATTTGTGTATGCTTAAATCTTTAAATAGCTAAAATGCATCAAAAACAGGACAACTAAAAGTAAAAGTTAAAAAAACTCAAACAAACAGAAAAAGAAGAAAAAAAGCTCTTGGAGTGCTGGTTCTAGTTTTGATCTTTCAGGTACATCAGTATGTGATTTCATTTCACAGGTACCTTACCTGTGGTTTCAGCAAGGCTGATGGGTAAGCATTAAGTCACAGCCATTGTGGTCTGTGGTCCTTCTTGTCTGACAGAGAAATTCCTAAGTTTGTCAAATTGACCTTATTATAGGAAATGTTTCTTTCTCCCCATATATTCACTATGGAGCTCAACTTTTTCCTCTACTTCTTAAAAAAGTATTTTATGGATGCTTAAATACAATCAATGTCACTTTCCAATGACACTGCTCCTGCCTTGTAGAATCAGAGAGCTCAAGTTCAAATCCTGGTTGTGCTACCTTGGGTAATTCCCTTAACCTTAACAAGGCCTTAATCCTTTGTAAAAAGAGGGCACTAGATGATCCTAAGTTCTCTTTCAAATCTCTATCAATGATCCTAATTGTAGAAAATTATAGGAATTTTAGGCATCATAAACAGATGGTCTATATTTTTTTTAAGAGACTGCTCCTTGGAATCATATTGGTCTATTCAGATGTCCCTCAAGGTTTATCTGAGTTATTACTTTTAGGGTAAACTGGAAAGGACTCAGAAGGGAGGGTCTGTGGTCTTTTTTCTCTAGGCCAGTGGCAGGTGCCACTAAGGTTCCTGGAGGTTTATTTCTGGGATGGATGCCCTTGGGATTGAAGGAACCTGTATCCCTTTCTTTAGCATGGATCTTTCAGTAGACATCTCCTGTCCCTCTCTACCTATTCTGAGAAAATGTTGGGCCTTTTCACCAACTATCTTAAACATAGCCCAGTTCCTATCAGCTTCCTCCCTAACCCCCCCCCCCAACTTCCTGTGAACTTCGGACTTCTAGAACTTTTCTTTGCACATTTGACATTATTTTAGTTATTATTTAATGTTCTCTGATTCCAAATGCAGCTCTTTTCCTGTTGTGAACAGTCTCTTTTATTCATTTATTTTTTTATTTAGGCAATTGGGGTTAAGTGACTTGCCCAGGGTCACAAATCTAGTAAGTGTCAAGTGTTTGGTCTGAGGTTGGATTTGAACTTAGGTCCTCCTGACTTCAGGGCTGGTGCTCTATCCACTGCACCACCTAGTTGCCACCGCACAACAGTGTCTTAAAGAGACGGAAAGCTAAGACTTAAGTATACATCCATTTTAGTCCCATGGAATGTGTCAAACAACAAACTATAGATAATAGGCTGGCACCTGAAAGATAAAGTCTAGAATGGGTTGCCATTGATGAGGGGAAAGGCCGCAAAGAAGCTTGGCACATGGAATACAAATTATGAAAGACTCCATTATTTTGGCAAGTGTGATGTAGCAGTGTATGGCTTTGAGAGCTGGACCATAAAGAAAACAGCACTGTAGAATCAACACTTTTAAATTGTGGTGCTGGAGAAGACTTAGAGAGTCCCTTGGATAGCAAGAAGATCAAATCAGTTAATACCTAAATTAATTCAGACTATTCACTGGATAGAAGGGCCTCCTTTGACTTTTTATTTTCTTTTTCTAGCTTCTCATCTTTCTTTGTAACCCTACATTTTCCTTTTACTAATCTTTTTCTTTTCTATCTTCTTTTTCCCCTCTTCTCTCTTCTCATTATCCCTGAGTGTCTGTTAATCTAAACTGTCTTGAAAAAAAAACTGTTGTGTCTTTGAGCCTTGGTCCCTATTGTCTTCCTCTCTATTATGCATAGACGTGGACAAACACTTCATTTATATTGATTTTTGAAATGACACTTGCCCTTATTTTAAAATGCTGTCTTTATAGATTGCCCGGATACTACGGAATATTGGTGTCAACCTTACCGATGAGAACTTTGAACATGTTTGGAACTTGGCTTCTAAGAAACATCACAAGGGAGAAGTTTGTGTGGAGTCTGTGAGAAATGTCCTGGATGAAATGCAGCATGCTAAAAGAATCAGAAGGAATCAAGTATAATGAGCCTTGTGATTTTTGTGGCGTTTATTCCTTTCCAAAAAGGAATAAGCCTTAACATGTTACTTTAAACATTTACTTTCATATACATTCAGATTTATTCTAGTAGTAGATATTATATTCTAATTCTGTAATCACTGTGGGTGATCTCATATGCTATATATTGCTAATAAATTAGATTGTTTTAGCTTCCAAATTTTTACCAAAAACTCATATTTCTAAGCATGTATTTTAAAAGCATGTCTTTTTTTCACCTATAATTAAAAAAGTAATTTTGTTTTCAATTAGCAAACATTTATTTTCTCCTCATCCCACCTCTGACACTAACTACTCATGTAACCTTAGACAAGCGACTATACTTCCCTGGGCCTCATTTTCCTGAACCTAGAATCCCTGGCTTCCCTCAAAACTTAGCTTAAACCAGACCATCTCCTTGTTGGTAGTCTACTATCCAAAGCCTACATTGATTATATCAAACAGTTCCTGTGTGTGCTGTTATTCTCAGGAAGTCTAGTTCCAGCTGTCCTGGTCCTCTGTGATGGGTTGCTCCCAGCAGACTCTGTTATGGTCTGTTAGGAAGACTTCTCTGTGTCTCCTCCAGTTGTACTCACTCCATGCTGGTGTTCATCACTGATCTATTCTGGTTCTCCTGACTGCTATCCTTTCTCAGATGTTAAGGATACGCAGGTCTCTCTGGGCACTCTAGATACTAACAGAGGAGGCCTAAGAGTTGTTCTTCTGGTCTGGGCTTCCTCACAGCTCATACATGTGCCAGACCTGAGGTTTCCCCTGACTGAGGTTTGTCCCTTCTGTACACATGTACACAAATCACCCAAATCAAGGTCATCAATTTCAAATCTGGAGAGACCTAGTCCAGTCTCATTTTATAGATGAAGAAGCTGAGGCACAATATGTTTAATTTTGGAGGTTGACAGTGACTGGAGCTCACTGAATAGGGTGATGATATGGGCAGACCTATACTTTAGAAAAATTATCTTGGCAGCTGAGGGGAGGATGGTTTGGAGTGGAGAGAGATGAGACAGGGAGATCAATTAGAAGGCATTTGCAACAGTTCAGGGAAGAGGTGATAAGGACCAGAACTCGGGTTGTGGTAATGTGAGTGGAGAGAAGGGGACATATCAGAAATGTGAAAATATAAACTTTCATACCAAGATTTGGTAACAGATTGCATATTTGGGGTGAGTGAGACTAGAGAGTCATGGATAATATCAAGTTGGTAAGTCTAGAAGGCTGGAGAATGGTGGTATCTTTGACAGTAATAGAAAAGTTTGGAAAGGGGGATGGTTTGGGGATAAAGATAATGAGTTCCATTTTGGACACATTGATTCGGAGATGCTTATGGGGATCCAATCTGAGATGTCCAGGAGCCTGTTGGAGATGTGTGATTTTATTTTAGCACAGGGTTTAGGGCTAGATACACACACACACACACACACACATGCACACACATAATACACACAAATATATAAACACCCACATACACACATGCATATATATATATTTACAGATAATTCTGATAGATATGTCTAGCTAGCTATCAGAGTCATCTGCATAGAACTTTTATCTTTCTATCCATCTATTTATCTATCTATCTCAGAGTCATCTACATAGAACTGATAATTGTTCCTTGGAAGTGGATGAGATCACTGAGTAAGACAGTGTAGAGGGAGAAGAGAGGAGAAGAAAGACCGAGTCTTACTGGCCAATAACTAACTAGCCTCAGTTTCCTTATCTGCACAGTTGAGCCATTGGACTAAATGATCTCTGTGGTCCTTTCCACCTTTAGGGTGATCTTACAATCTAATGACCATATGTTTATCTATACTTTGGGGCAAAATTGTGCATATGCCAAAGTTTGATCACATGTTCAAAAGATAATTATCACCTTGAATTTGACACCAATGACTCAATAACCTCTGGAATGAATATAGATAAGAATCAATAAAAGAACGAATACATAAATATAAATATTGCATATGTGTACACATGTATGTGTTATATACATACATATTTTTAGAAATCATCATTCTTCAGACTGTCTATGCATGCAAAGCAAAGTGGAAAATCTGGGTCAAACCAGAGTATCTGGGTATCCAATCCATTAAAAAAGTCATATTAAGTTATGACATCTGTTCTCCATGTTATTTTAATATAGACTATGGCCTTCAGTGTGCCAAGTTACATGTTTTATAGTTCAAACCACAAATCATTAGGTAATTTCCATTCTGTCACCTTAGTAGCCACTTTTTCCAGATGAGTTTGTGTTTCAGCATGAAATGACTGGTTTGATAATAAAATCAGGAAGCATGGAAACCATTATTATACTCCTATTTCCCCTAGTAATTTATTTTTCTTGTGCCCATTTCCTAATGCTCAGAAGACACACAGAAAAGAAATCTACAAAAATTGCAAGGAAATATTTCTAGCATTTTCCCACCAAGGAAAGAGAGAAGTGCCCACCTGTGTATAGACTTCAGGTCCATTGGCTCTGGCTCCTGGTCAATTTCACAGCATGGGTCATAAGCTCTTGTGTGCTTGATGGCATGTACTGAATCCAGTGATTGAATACAACTTACTCAATGGGAAAAGCCACTCGAATAGCTGAAAAAAAACACTCAGATAACAGTACAGTAAAAGATAGATGATAATGTGCTTTCCTGCTGAAATTGTAGAATAATCATTTTGCTTGAAGCATTTTTTTTCTTCCATGTCATTTGCAATATGTTATTCACTAGAAGATGGCTGTGAGGAGGCCATCTGAAGTAGAAACAAAATTGTGACAATAGACAAAGTGTGAATATTTTTTTATGATAGCAAACATGCTGTTCCTTTGGACTTGTAAAATTGTTTATATACTGGTGATCATATTGAGACCCATTTTTACATATATTTCAAAGAAAAAGAAACTCATCTACTTGGTGATAGAAATGAGACATTTATATTTGTAGCCAGGATTAATTAAAACATTGCATGTGAGAGGTTGCATAAAAGATATTGAGAAAATTTTTAAAGGGAAAAGGTGATGGAGCCATCGTGTAGCAAGAATGACAGACAACTGATGTTCAGCTCCGTTGTTGTATTGGTTCCTATAAAAAAATGAAAGAACCATAGAAGGGCCTGTAGGACATTGTGTAGGTCCTTGATGGAGGATTTATGGTAGAAGGATATGTATAAGAATTTTAGTGTGAGAATGCATGATGAGGTGGTGATCTGAACTGGTAGAGGGAATCCCCATTTTGATGATGTTTCAAAGTACGTATTAAACTACTCCAAAATATTGTTTGTATTTAAATAGAGTACATACTGGTCAAACCAAAGAAATAAACAACAATTCAACAAAATCATTGATGCAGTCCCTGTCTTCAAGCAACTTACTGTCTAGTATGAAGAATATAAGATTTATACAAAAATAAACATAATGCATGTTAGAAGATGATTGTTGGATCTGTCCTGTGTATCTAGAGTGGTGTTAATCTGTAAGGAAAAGATGATCAATTGTATTTGTAGGCTTCATCATAGAGGTGGCATCTGGCTAGACCTTTGGAGGAAGAGAAGAATTTCGACAGGCAGAGGTGGGGAAGTCCATTCCAGCCTGGCACGATGAATTCAAACACGTGGAATTGGGAAGCAGAAGGAATGATGAGTCATTTAATTTGGCTGGAGTCCATTCTAAGGTGGAGTGACTTGGGCTTTGCTTGATGGCACACAAAACTCTGGTGGATGGAGGAAATGCTTCTTCCTCGAGGCAGTCTTCTGATCCATCTTCTGGTCTAAGCCTTGTAATCTCTCAGCCTGTGCCATATGTGAGAATTCCTCTTATTCTCTCCCACTGTCTTGGGCTTTTATCATTCAGGGGTCCAATGTCATGATGTCTCTCTTCTAGAGTCCACCTTTCCTTACCTTTCCACTCTTCTACCTTCTTCTGAGAATTGAGGAGGTCAGGATCTATTTGTCATGCCTTGGAGGTATAGTCCAGATTTTGGGGGATACAGAAAGTCTCTTCTAGCATGGATGAACCTAGGGCAGGTTGTCCTCTGTCTGAGTTGTATGTTATATCCCACACCATTTGAATTTGCCCCTGGTGCAAGAATTCCTAGTTAAAGCTTTAGCTGGAACATAGTGCTTGTGAAAGAAGGTGATGATAATAAGAAATGTGTTGAAATTATTGAAGGTATTGACTCAAGGCTGTGAAATTTGTATTTTATTAAATAAATAAGAAGGGAAAACTCATGGTTTTTTAGAAAGGAAGGAATGGGATCAGGTCTATTCACTGGGAAAATTATATTGCCAGCAACATGTAGGATGGCTTGAAGGGTGAGATAAAGACAAGGAGACTGGTTAGGATACTATCCAAGGGAGAAGTGACAAAGGTCTGCACTAGGTGTGGTGACAGTGGAAATGTAATAGAGGGAATAGATACAGGACACATTACAGAGATAAATTTGATGAAACTTGGTGACTCACTGGATGTGTGTCGGGGTGTGTGAAGAATATAGAAGAGTGATGATTCCAAAGTTTTGATGCTTAGTATCAGGGATTCCAAGAGGCTGAGATGAGAAAGGAATGAATTCCAGGCATGGAAACATCCTAGAAATGAGAAATGGAATACTGCACACAGGAAACAGAAAGTAGGTCAGCTTGGTCCTAATGAAGTTAGCAGAAAGTGTGTGATGATGGTGCTCTCAACAAAAAACAGGTGAATTAGGAGAAAGGGCCCTTTTTTTGGGGGGGAAGCAAAGATTAATTCTGACTTTGATGTATTTAGTTTAGGGTGTAGGTGGAGTATTTACATTGACTTGTCCAAGAGGAATTGGAAATAAGACCCAAGGAAGAGAGATCATATACAGAACAGTGATGATTGACATCATGGTAGCATATCAGATTGTCAAAGGAGAAAAAATTAGGGCCAAGAATAGACCCATAGAGAGACCCTCTTAGGGGCTGGAAAGGAAAGTGGGAACCATGAAGGAGATCTATGGACCCAATTCAGCAAACCCAACCCTAAGTCCCAACAAGGAAACACAATCAACTAAGCCCGTACATATTCGTTATTTCAATTATTAGTATATGCCATAATAGTTTGACTGGAGTCATATATGTAGATAATCTCTCTAAATCTTCTG